ATATACGTAAATACTATGTATATGTATGTATTTGTAATTACTTTATCCAAAGTGAGGTCCAAATTGGGTTTTGGTTTGAGGTTGGTGATAATGTCTTACATCTTTTTTTAAAAAAACTCTTTAAAAGTTATATAGGAGAATTCTATTCTATCTCCTTTTTTATACAGCTCTGAGCTTTAACAGATACAGATTTCTGTGCTCCCCACCATTCAAGGTAGAACACCAGACAGTTCCAGCTGGCTCCTGCTGCTTCACCCAAGGGGCACAGCACTGGCCGCCCCACGCTAGTTACCCCCTAGCACTTGTGTCCCCATGCTAGTTATCACACAGCACTTGTGCCACACAGCACTGGCCTCCCCGTGCTAGTTACCCCCTAGTGTGGCGCCTCCTGTGTCCAGAGCTGGTTCCAGTGCACAAAGCAGTGTGCTTCCTCGGTCAGTATGGAAAGGACCTGGGTTGCAGCTGTGTATGGAGCTGCAGTGGGTGTTCCTGTGCAGTCTTAGTGTGGAAGTCTACCCTCCTTCCCCGTGTGCATCCTGGGCTGCAGGAGAACAGCGTGCTTAGCTTTCTAAGCAATTGCCCTGCCCTCCAGGAGACTAACCAGAGGTAGATGAACTCCAGGTGCCCCACCACCTTGCCAGCTCCAGGTTTTCAGTAAGGTTTCCTAAATTTAGGTGAAGTCCAGTTCATCTGCTCCCTTTGCTCCTGGTGAATCCTGTTGCTCATCTCCTGTGGGCACCACACTGCCTTAGCCATGCAGGGCATGGTGAGCCTTGGTGTCTGACAGCTAGAGTTCAATCCACCTTGGTCTCCAGTAGCAAGCAGTTGGGACAATTCTGCTTCTTTGCCTTTCATATAAAATTTAAAGTCAGCGTCCCGGATTTCACAGGAGTAGCAGAGTCAGAGTCTGCAGGTCAGTGTGGGGGAGGATGCTACCCGTGAGTTTCACCATCTGTCCAGTTGTGTAGCTGTTAGCTTTGTCATTTGCATTTGGGAGTTTTCAGCATGCAGATCTGTGTGTGTTTTAGATCTGGTCATTTCCTTTGTTCAGAGTTGTTGGAAGTGTGTGTTTTCCAAATTGTGACCTCTAGGTGTTTACCTCCAGCATGTAGCCTGTGGATGTGCCCCAAGGTGGCCTGGTGCCACACGGCCTCTCTGAGCCCCCTGGTTCCAGAGACGCATGCATCCTCATCTTCCCAGCTGTTTAGGTTCACACACTCCGGTTTGCTTGCCTGCTAATGACCAAATCAGAAGAGGCCAATTACTTTGGTAAAAAGGAAGAGGGGTCTGTACAGAGCTGGTTGGATGCCTGAAGTCACCATCTCCCTGTGTGTGGGTGTGAGGGGTGTTCTACAGCAAGGCTTGGTGAGAGAGACAGTATGGGGAGGTACCAGAAGCGTCCAGGCTCAGCCCACCCCTTCTCAGATCTGGACCCCTGCTCCCTTTCCTGAGGGAGGGGAACTGAACTTGCCCGCCTTGACCAGTATCTGCACATTCTGCCCTTTCATCTGGGTGAGGAGAGGAAGGGTGGCGATTCATGCCCTAGGCCTGAGGACGTGTGGAGAAGCCACTTGTCTCTAAAGGAAAAAGCCTAACTTTAAAGTTCCATTTTGTTGTGCTGGGTACACTCGCACTTCTGTCAGTACTTGGATTTCCTACCTGTGTGGTCATGGTATCTGCCAGGGAGTGGTTGACCTCCTCTTCCTGTCCTTGGGTCTGTGTTTCCTTTCTCACCTGAGCACTAACAGCTGGGGGACAGGTTAGTCCGTCTCTGTCTGGCCATGTGGGCTCCATATACTTTGTCCATCTTGTAAATGGAGGAACTTAATTCCTTTCCTCATTTGCTGAGAGTTTCCATCATGACTGGCAGAATCTCCTGTTCAGCTCTGCTTACAGCATTATAGATATTCTTGCTTGCTCGTCAGACGTCTCCAAACTCCCCCCGACAAACCTGTTCGAAGGACCCCTTTACATCATCATAGTCACAGTAGTGGGCTCACCGTCAGTACGGTCTTGGATGCTGGTCAGTTTCTTTCATGGTAGCAGTCCCTGAGATGACCAGCTCACAGAGATGAGAGGTTGATTTTGGCTTCTGGTTTCAGAGGCTTTAGTATCTGATCAATTGTCCTGTTGCTCTGGGCCTGGGACAAGGCAGCACAGGTGAAGAGAGCATCCACCTCACCTCATGGCTCGGGGTAAGGAAGGAGCTGGAGTCTCACTGCCTGATTCAAGGTCCCACCAGGTCCCTCCTCCCAACCATACCACTGGTTGGGGACCAAGCCTTCAGCACATGGCCTCTGGAGGTCACTCATGCAAACCGTATTGTTATGTTACGTTTGTTTGTTTGTTTTCCTAGCTTGTTATGGTGAGTTACATTGATTTTCAGATGTTGAACCAGCCTTGCTATCCTGGAACAAGCCCTCTTCTTACTCACTGAATATTACTAGTTATGATTTTTGCATACTGCTAGATTTGGTTTGCTAATGTTTTATTGGAGAACTTATAGCTGTGTTCATGAGATACTGGTCTGCAGTTCTTTCTATTTTTGTCTAGTGTCGATAGCAGAGTAATGCTGATTCACTATGATGCTTGGGAAGTGTTGCCTCCAGTTCTGTGTTCTGCAGGGTATTGTATAGTGTTGGTGCTCTTTCTTTTTTTCTTTACCTTGTGCTGCTGGGGATGGAACCCAGGGCTTTGTGCACATCAGGCAAGTACTCTACTGCTGAGCTATACCCACCCCTCTTCTTTTAATATCTAGTTAAAAATGCCTGAAGTTTTCTTCTTCAGAGTGTTTTGAACTAGTAATTCAATTTATTTAGTAGATAGAAGACTATTTATGTTCTCTATTTTATATTGGTGACTTTCGGTACTTGATAGCTTTCAAGGAATTTTTACATTTCATCTAAGTTCTCAAATTTATGTCCCTGTAGTTGTTTATGGTGCTTTCTAATCTTCCTTTTAAATGTCTGTGAGGTCTGTAGTTCTTTCGTTGATTTCTGATAACTAAAATTTTTGTCTGCTCTCTTTTTTCTTTGCCTAGAGGTTTTATGAATTTTGTTGGTCCTCTCAAGAAACTGGCATTTGGTTTTTTTTTTTTTGGTTTTTCTCCGGTACCGGGAACCGAACTCATGACCTTGCGCTTGCCAGGCAGGCGCTTTGCCGCTGAGCTAAATCCCCAGCCCCGGCATTTGGTTTTGTATTTTCAATTCAGTTTTTTCTGCTTTTCCATTATCTCCTTTTTTACATTTCCTTTGAGTTTAATTTGTTGTTTTTTGTTCCTATTTTTCTAAGGTGGAAGCCAGGGTTGTTATCTGAAGCCTTTACTTTTCTTTACTTTTCTGTTTTGTTGTTTGTTTGTTTTGTCTTTTTGAGGCAGGGTCTTGCTGTGCAGTTCAGGCCAGCCCTGAGCCCACTTATAGCCCAGGCTGGTCTCGAACTTGCAGTGATCCTCCTGCGTCAGCCTCCCGAGTCCTGGGATTATAAGCGTGTGCCACTATGCTCAGCATGAAGGCTTTTCTAATACAAGTTTGTCTGTGTTTTTTTGTACTAGGAATCGAACGCAAGACTTTGTGCTTGCCAGGCAGCCTCTGTGCCACTGAGCTATATCCCCAGCCCACTCATAAGTATTTAATGTTATGATTTCCTCTCTTGGCACTGCTTTGGCTGTGTCCTACAAATATTGGCATGTTGTGTTTCATTTTGTTCTAGCCAGTGTCCTCCACTTTCTTTTTTTTTTTTATTTTTTCCGGTACTAGGAATCGAATCCAGTACCTTGCACCTGCCAGGTAGGCGCTTGTGCCACTGAGCTATATCCCCAGCCTCCACTTTCTTTTGAGATGTCCTCTCTGCCTCTGGGTTATTCAGAAGTGTATTGTTCAGTTTCCCAAGACTCGGGACTTTCTAGCTGTTTTCCTATCACTGCAATCAGTCCTTACCTTCAGTTTCACATTCCTTGGTTTTAGGGCCTCAAGTTCTACCATAGTCCAAAAGTATTAAATGGAAAATTCCAAAAAAACCCAAATGGCTCCCAAATTTCAAACTGCCAGTCTGAGGTCACCATTGTCGCACATGTACGAGGTTGGCACTGCCCTTGGTGTGAGGCATCCCCAGTGTCTGGTGAGCCTGTGCTTTCCTGGTGGGCTAGACTGACCAGATCCTGCTGGAAAGATGCCACCTGCACCGTGCCCGGGTCCCCTGCAGGGTCACACAGCCCATCTACTGGGACCTGCTTATGCCTGAGTTGTCTCAGGTGTAAGGTGTACCCTGCTCACCTGCTGTGGCCCTCCTTTGCCTGCTCACTCCCATGTGGTCCCTGTGGGTGCCACAGACCCACCTCCCACCAGCTGCCCCAGCTGTAGGGTCAGGGCATATGCTGCAGGAAGCCGTATCCCTGTCCTTACCTCTTGAGCTCTGTGGAGCCACTGGAGTCACTGGGATTGAGCTTGCGCATGGGCTGACAGGTGCCCAAGAGCCCACACTACTCCCTGAGGCCACACAGCTGGCCACACAGCTGACTCCCTGCACCCGTGCAGCTGAATGGGAAGGATGAATTGCTCTTCCTATGTCTGTGCACATAGTCCTTGGCCCATAGACAGAAGTGCTGGCGCTTGTTCTGATGGCGGAGGGCCGTGGCCTGGGAAGGGTTGTGCCTGGCATCTGTCAGCTCGGGTACACTTCATGGCTGGCAGCTCAGGAGGTCTCCCCAGTGGGACCCAACACACACAGCTGGAGATGTTTGTCCTGGATCTTGGAGCTGTAGGGCTGGCAGTGTGCTTTATTTCAAAGGAATGCACATTTGTCCCATGCTGCCCTGTGGGCAGGTGTCCTCAGCGGCAGTTGAGTAGAAAAGCAAGGAAGCTGCAGAAAGCCAGAAGCCTTTGCCACCGTGTTTAGGGATCCCTGGGGATGCTGCAGAGGCGCTCCTTGGAGTGCAAAGGTCAGTGTCCAGCAAGGGTGGTACTCCTGGGAGCCACCAAAGGCTGAGGTGTGCATGTTTGCAGGTTGTGCAGTCTAACCCTGAAGAAGCTGGCTGTTCTCAGAGAGCTGGAGAAGGAGCTGATGTCCGTGGTGATTGCAGTCAAGATGCAGGTGAGCCCCTCACCCCACCCTGCAGCAGGTGTGATGGCACAAGCCTAGGTGGCTCCTGTACTCCAGTCCCTTCTGACACCTGTCATTGTGAAACCTCCCACAGGGTGAGGGCTGTGCAAGAAGAACTGGAGCCAGGTGGGGTCCAGGCTTTTGGTGGGTCCTGGTGTTGGGCTTCAGTTTGGTTTCACCTGAGGCTTTGGATGAAGGGAAAAGCCGTCTCTGACCCTGGCCTTCCCTCCAGGGGATAACAGCCAGCAGCTGGCCCAGATAGTGTCCTGCCAGGCCTGTGGGGCCATAAGGCTCTTGTCTACTCCCCAGGGATAGAATGTGGCTTTTCAGCCCCTGGCCACCAGGGTGCCATCTCTGGAGTGTGCCCCTGGCAGTGTGGCAACAGCTGACTGTTGCTGACCCCAGACCTTGACCCTGGGAGCCCAGAGTCCTGCTGGAGGTCTTGTGCTGACAGCACCCATGCTGCCTAATGTTCCCTGGACCTACAGCAGTGGTATGCAGAACCTTGGGACCCACCATGGCCATGGACCACCTTGTGGGCTGTCCGCCATTCTAAGGCATGGATTTTGGGGCTACGGCCTGTCTTGATTCTTCCACTGAATTGTACACACATTAAAAACATTGTGCTGCTGCTCTCCACCCCCCACCCCCACCCCTTATTGAGGATTGAACCGAGGGCCTTCAAACTGAACTACATCCCTTTTAATTTTTTTAGTCTTGAGATAAGATCTCACTAAGTCTCTATAATTTGCTCAGGATGGGCTCAAACTCTTGACCTTCTGCCTCATCCTCCTGAGTAGCTGGGATTATGGGCATGTGCCACTATGCCTGGCTAAGAATGTGCCTCTAATAAAGACCTGGAGAGTGCCAGATGTTATGGCACACACCTGTCATCCCAGCCAGTCAGGAGGCTGAGTCAGGAAGCCATGTAGGCGGTGCTCTGAGCTCCTGGCTAGGGAGGAGCCAAGGTCTTCCCAGGTCTGTAGAACAATGCAAAAGTCACCAAGGTGAGAGTTGGCCCACAGCAGGTATCTGAGTCTGGCACTGTGGACTGTGACCTCTGCTGAGCTGACCCTGCCTGTCTTTGACCTCTGTGCCAAGCCAGCCCTTTCTGTGGTCCTCCCCAGTCCTCGTCCCTGCTGAACTCCCAGCCCTTCCTTGTGCCCTAGCCCATCTGCCCAGCCCACAGCCCCCTGGTTCCTTATCTCTTCTCCTCAGCACCTTCTCTGGCTCAGGTCACCTGTGTCCAGCAGGCTGGTGGAGTTGGAGGAAAGCCACAGCCCTGCCCCCATTCTGAGACTTACCTGGATGCTGTGCCAGACCCCGAGCCTGGATCCTTACTCCCCAGCTTGGGAGAAGGCTGGGCTCCTGCTGGGCCCTGTCCCTGCTTCCCATCATATGCTCCAGGTCAGTCCTGTGAGGCCAGAAGCTAAGACCATCCCTGTTCTGGGACCATGGGAGCCCAGAGAGAAGAAAGGGGGAGAGCTGCATTGGAGCTGGGGAACTGGGCAGTGGAGTAGGCTTGGCCCCAAATCACGGTCACCCTGTACCCAAGCAGCCTCCTTTCCAATCCCATCTCTTCCGGCTGGCCTCTCTTGCCTGCCCCCCACGGAGCAGCCCGCCCACACACCCATCCTGTAACCCTACTTCTGCCCAATTGTTGCGGACTCCTAGGGAGCCTGGTATCAGGCTCCTTGCCTGGCTGCCTGTCGTGGCAGCTTTTAGGGCTCCCCTGTTGGACCAGATCCCTTAAACAGCACTGTGACACAGGTCTCTAAAGCACTGGAAGCCCAGTGTGGCATAAAGTGGGAGGCTGGGTCCTGCTGTGTTTGATCTGAATGCTGCGTTACCCACTTCCTGCTAAGGGTACAAGTCTGCGTTTGCATCCTGGTGCCCATGATGGTGTTTCCATGTGTCAAGTACTGTGCTTTGTAGGATGGTCACTCTGAGGGTCCTTGGGTTGTGTGGTGCCCACAACACAGCCTTTCAGTTGCTAGCTGGCGCTGCATCTTCAGACTTACATCTGCTCTGGCAGGCTGAGCCTTGGTTTCTCTCTCCTGCACAGACCCTATAGAACTGGTAGGCACAGGACAAGGACATTGTCAGGTTACTATCCCACAGTGCCCCTGTGATGGTGACCCCTGTCCTGGGTCTGTCTCACTGTAAGATGCCCTTTAATTGAAGGCGGCTGTCTCCTCACAGGGCTCCAAAAGGGTCCTGCGGTCTCATGAGATTGTGCTGCCCCCCAGTGGACAAGTGGAGACCGACCTGGCCCTGACCTTCTCTCTTCAGGTGAGTGGTCAGTGTCCTTGGTGATAACATAGCCTCTTCATTACCTTCTTCACCTTTCTTACTTTTTTTAGCTTTTTTTTTTTTTTTTTTTTTTTTGGTTTTTCTCTGGTACCGGGAACCGAACTCACGACCTTGCACTTGCCAGGCAGGCGCTTTGCCGCTGAGCTAAATTCCCAGCCCCACCTTTCTTACTTTTGATCTTCTCTTACCACTTATTTTTAAATGACTAGGAAATTTTCTTGGTTTATTATGTTGTCTGTGTTTATCCTTCACCTGTGATTTTAAAAAAAAGGAATAAGGCAAAAACATAAAAATTATCAAATCCAGGTCTTTTCATCCTCATACTTAGAAAAGATGGGCAGAAACATGTGGGCTTTGCGTGTGTTACACATGTTTCAGGGTGAGCTTACTGGACATGTGCTCTGTGTGCCCCTGACCACCCTGTCCTACCTTCTCCAGATCCCTGCCCTGTCGGGAAAGCTATCAGCAACTCATTCCAAACCCACTAAATCAATTCATCCTAAGTCCCGTAAGATCCTCTTTTGTCTTTTAGACATGTGGAACTGCACTGTGCTTCAGAAAACACCTGAGTCCGTGCCAGCTCCCCTCACTGCCCCCATCACTCCCAACCCCAGAGCTGGGTTCTTATGACTGACCCTTTGTTATCTCTAACCACCGACCTCCTGCCTCTCCCGGCCTGGCCTTTTTCCTTCAAAAGCCCACGGGAGCCCCTTTCACTGAAGTGCAGTTTGCCAAACATAGTTCACCCACTTTCTTTCTGAGCTTGGTCTTGAGCTTGAGATGCTTGTACAGGTATATAGCAGACAGCCCTGCAGCCAGGGCCTGGTCCCGGTTGCTGCAGTCTCAGATCACTTTGTCTCTACACCTGAGAAAAGGCTGTGAGTGTCAGTCCTACACATGCGCCTCTGTAGGTATAGATGCTGGGTGCTCAGCTGGGGATACACAGTGCTGCAGACACATGTGGGCCTGTCCCATGTGTCTGCAAGGGCTTGGGCAACACCACGGTTGCCCCTCGCTGGGCCGGGTGTGCCTCAGGCAGCTCCCCATGCCTGCAGTACCCTCACTTCTTGAAGAGAGAAGGCAACAAGCTTCAGATCATGCTGCAGCGCAGGAAACGATACAAAAACCGAACAATCCTGGGCTACAAGACACTGGCTGTGGGCTCCATCAACATGGCTGAGGTGAGTGCTGGGTCTGGGCGGCCCTGCTCGCACCAGTCTCTCTCACATCAAAACTGTTCTCTCAGTGCAGCAGGGGCCTCTGTCCAAGCTGCACAGTGATGACTGAGCCATCCAGGTGGTTTGCTTCCCATTCCACTGCAGCCACAGGTGCACCCCACTTCCAGGCTCCCCAACAGGGTCCTCCTAGGTGCCCCACTCAGCCCCCACCAGGCAGCAAGGACACCGTGGGAGGACCTCAGCCTAGCACCCTGTCCTGGAGCAGTGCTCCAAGGGGCTGTGGGAGAAGCAGGAGGGGGTCTGGGCACAGAGGAGCTCAGACTTTCCTCCTGTGCCATGGGGCCACGGGTGCAGTTCTGGGAAAGGGAGCAGCTGGGGCCTCTCTTGTTGTCCCGTAGGCTTCAGGCTTGTGATGTGGGGCTATGGCCAGGATCTAAGGGCAGCCACAGGTGGGGCATACCACTGTCCCACACATCAGCTGCCCAGGCCCCCATACCATCCCCTCCACCTCCTCTCTCTAGCACCTGGATCGGCATGTTCTGTCCATTGGGTCTGGCCCCTGCCCCAGGCTCTTCTTCGATCCCTGGGCCACACTGAATGGACCCCCCTGTCCCCAAAGCTGCAGCCCCTGGACATGCCCCTGCATCCCTGCCCCCATGGCCATCACCCACAGACTTCCTCACCCTGTACCTGGGGCCCCAGAGCTGGGTTCTTATGACTAACCCTTTGTTATCTCTAACTACCTGCCTCCTGCCTTTCCCGGCCTGGCCTTTTTCCTTCAGTGCAGCTCAGCCTTCCACATGTCCCTGGGCCCAGCTCACCCCTGTGTCCCCTGGGCCCAGCTCAGCCCCCACATACCCCAGGCACTGGGGCCCATCCTTGCAGCACTGTGTTTGTCCATCCAAGTTGGGCGGGCTGTTGCCCCATGACCACTGTGGGCTCGCTGGGTGGTGTCTGTGAGCACTGGTGAATTGGGTGGATGGGGGAAGGGCCTTAGCCTTGCAGGTGAGGGAGGGGGCAGTGGGCGCTGTGCCTGGGAGCTTCTATGCTAGCCCTGTGAGTAGCAGGCCAAGTGTTAGTGGAGACCCAGTTGTTCTCCAGGGTGGTACTTGGCTGGGGAGCAGGGTCTCTTGAGAATAGGATGTGGTTGGAGTCAGTCCATAGATAGGAGGGAGAATAGAGGGCAGGGCCGGCCTCCCCATGGTGCAGACCTTGAGCAGTAAGGACCACACCCTATACTCCTACAGCCCTGACCCACTGTGTGCTCTGCCCAGGACACTTTGGAGGCAGAGGAACCTGAGCTGGAGGTCTGTGGGGGAGCTGGGTGCACAGTCAAGGGACATGACAGAGGCAGTCCCTGGGGCTTGGGGGCACTGCCCAGAACCTCAGGGTAGACAGGAGGAATCTGAAAGGTAGGCTTAGGCCACCCGCACCAGGTGGGCTGGCAGGTAGGGGTCCACAGCAGCTCTGCCCATGGGAGTCACACTGCACACTCAGGGAGCTGGGACAGCAGAGTGGGGCATCTTTGTGCTGAAGTGCAAGGCAGTTCTGAATTGTGGGTTGACTCAGGATAGAAGTGCTCCTGACTGAGACTACAGAACACCCAGGGCTCTGACCAGCAAGTGTCCTGTCTCAGACAGTCCCCAGGTCCTCGGTGGCTGCCAGGCAGCAGGAGTGCAGCAGACTGACATGGAGGGTCTACCCTCTGAGGTCCTAGGGTGCCATCCGTACCACAGATGGGAGGGGGTGGCATGAGTGGCTATTCTCGTGCTGCCCGAAGCTGGTGCTTGCAGGCTTTGCATGTCACTTCGGGAAGGCTGTAGGCACCTTGGGCTGTCCTGAATCGCTGGGGAGTGGTCAAAGGCTGTACTCTCCTTCCTAAACCGGGCTCAGGCTGTGCCGCCTACCCTGTCCACAGAGACCAGGAGCCAGGCACCTGGCAGGGTGGCTTGGGGAGGGAACCTTGGAAGATCCAGGGTAAGGCTGCTGTGTACCTGCCACTGGCAGGTTCCTGTGTCCCAGTGAGTGTACATATTGGTTTCTGTCATTGTTTTTCCTTTTTTTCATTGCTTGGGATAGAACCCAGGGCCTCTGCTTCCCCAAAATTTGGATGCTATTTTTACATACAAGCCTGGCTCCCTAGCAGTTTCCCATGCACTAAAGTTCTTCTAAATATAAAGGGGGGCCTATGGAAGTGAAGAGAAGGCCACTTCTGGGTAGGTCAGCTGCAGCCTTCTGCTATGGTCACTTAGTGTCACCAGCATCTGGTAGGCCAGCCTGGATGTGAGTCCACGGTCCCTTGGTGCTGTGCCAGGTGGCTACTGCCAGGCCTGGAGTGAGCAATACCTGGCCACCAACACTACCCCAGGAGAACTTCCCGTCAGGGCTGCAGGACCCTGTGTGGGAGGGTGAGCCAGCACTGAGGAACCTTGGCCAGGAGCCTGAGGTGAGCTGGTTACCTGGGAGGTCAGGGCTAGAGGTCAAAGGAAACGTACAGCAAAGGGATGGAACAAGGTGGTGAGAGGCTCTCACCCATGGACAAGGCCTTGGCTCGATGGCCGGCTGGAGAGGAACAGAGCCATACACTTTTGATAGAGGACATACTCTTTCCAACCTCCCACCTGGGAGCAGGTGTGTGGCTGCACCTTGCCATGCACCCTACCCTGCCCATGCCCCATGACTGCCACCTGCCTGTCTGTTCCTGGATGCAGCAGGATATCAGCCTCTACAGCTGGCCTTGATTTCTCAGCCAATCTGAGGTCACCTAGGGAGGTGGCATCCACGGTGCAGGGCTGGGTGCACACAGGCACAGGGTGTCCACATGAAGGCACCAGGAGTGGGGGAGTGTTGGCATAGAGCTGCCCACACACCTTCTGATTTGGTTTCTAAAATAATGGTGAATCAGATTTGAACTTTCTTAAAATTTTATTTTCCTCACTGATTAGAGCCAGCACCCCAAATGAGGCCCTAAATTTAAAAAAATTAAAAAATAAAAAACCTAACATAAAATCCTAACACCTGGATCTGATCAGATGGCCCCAGAGATAGTTTGAAAAGTACAGAGGGCAGTTGGGCATGGTGTTGTACACCTGTCATCCCAGCATACTCGGTCGGGGGTAGGAGGTAGGGCTGAGGCAGAAGGATTGAAAGTTCAAGGCTAGGCTGGGTAACTTAGCAAGACCCTTTCTCAAAATAAAAACTCAAACGGTCTGGGGATGTGGCTCACTGCTCCAGGGCCCAGTAGTGTACACCCACATAATACAAAGGCCCGTCTGCGAGGTCTGCAGGTGCCCGTGTGTGTTTCTGAGGCTGGTGTGGGCCAGAGTGGTGCCCTGGTGCAGTAGCTGCTGCTACTGGGTGGTGTCTGGGCTTGCTCTGCCCTCTGGTTTGCTGCCACTTGTGACACAGGTAACCCTGGGCTTGGTGGTTCTGTGAGCCAGGCCTGGAGCCTCTCTCACACCTATAGACCCGAACTGTAGTGCTGGCTGCTCTTCCTCACTCCTGCTGGCAGGAGTTCTTGGACCCCAGGTCTCGAGCGTCAGTGGCTGTGTTATGCTGCTGGCTGGCCCTCATCCCTGATGTTACATGCACCTGGCTGCTGCGGTCCTAGGCAGGTGGCTTCCCAGGGACAGTAGGTGTGGCAGGGGCCAGTGGCTGTGGTGGCCTCCACCTGGATCCCCTTGACCTCCTCTGCTGCCAGGCTCTTGCATGCTGGGTGTCCCACACTTGGACCAGGCTCTGAACTGGGGGCCCTTCTTCCTGGGGTGCTTCCTAGAGCTCTGTGCACCCACAGGTGATGCAGCACCCCTCAGAGGGTGGCCAAGTGCTGAGCCTCTGCAGCAGCATCAAGGAGGCCTCTGTCAAGGTGGCTGAGATCTGGATTGTCTCCCTGTCCAGCCAGCCCATCGACCACGAGGATAGTGCCATGCAGGCCGGCCCCAAGGTCAAGTCCACAGGTTCGTGAGGCCAGTTTGGGCCCTTACTGCCTCTACCTGAGAGTGCTGCCTCCTGCCCTGGCGTGTTGGGTGGCGCAGCCACCAGGTGGCTGGAGAAGCAGGGTGGGTGTGAAGCACTGGCAACTGCTCCCCCAACTGGAAACCCTGGAGCGAGGTCCTGTGTGTGCTGTAGACCTGGGCCCTAGCTCCTCACCACCAGGCCTAACTTACCACATGCCCTCCGTGGAGAAAGTCATGGAGCCGACCCTTCACTGCCTCCGAGGCCATGTGTACAGCGCCCAGTGTAGGGCCGTGTTTTGTGGCTCTCGGGTGATGCTACCATCTCTGTTGGAGTAGCTGTCCCTCCCTCATCTGCCAAGGTGAGGGAGGCTATGTCTAGGCTGACTCCCACGATCCCCACCTTCAGTCCCTCTGGACACTTCTACCAGCCCTGCTCCATGTGGTCCGCTGACCTTAGGGTCTTGGGGCTCAGGACCTCTGCTGGCACCTGGGCCCTTTGCTGCATTCCCCGTCTGCATCCTGGGGACCTACGGTTTGGTGGCCATGTAGCTGCAGCAGAAGTGGTGTGATCTGGGTGCCTGACCCCTCCCTCCACAGATAACTACTCTGAGGAGGAGTACGAGAGCTTCTCCTCTGAGCAGGAAGCCAGCGATGATGCCGTGCAAGGGCAGGTAATGGGCACAGGGCATGTGTGGCTGAGTGCTATGTGGTGGGGAGGGTTGGGGGTAGGTGGGAGGGGAGCCTGGATGTCTTTGGCCTCAGCATTGGGCAGGCCACCGGGGCAGGCAGGGCAGGCAGAGCTGCAGCCTCTGGGACCACTGTGTCTCCACAGGATCTGGATGAGGATGACTTTGATGTGGGGAAGCCTGCGAAGCAGCGGAGACCGATAGTAAGAACGACGTCCATGACCAGGGTCGGTGGAAGCTGGTTTTACTAACCCTGGGGATGGGCCTGGGTGGTTGGCTGGGACAGGCGCAGTAGACAAATGGCATGTGAGCCCTTGGGGGGAGGCCATGGGCAAGTGCCACCCTGTCCTGCTACACCATGGCTTGTCCTCACATGGGGCTGCCACAGGTAGCTTCTGGCCACTGCCAGAAAGTGGACATGCACTAGGCAGGAGACATCCTGTGGCAACCCTTGGCCATTAGATCCCTGAGTACCACCCTGTCCTGGCTCGACGCCATGTGGTCATGAGGGGCTGAGGAGCTGGAATGAGACTGGTGTGGCCACCTTGCTTCCAAAAGTCCTCCTAAAGGGGCCTGGAGACATATTTCTCTCCTTGGCTTGGCACCCAGAGAACCTGAGCGTGGCAGTTGCACTTTCTCAAGGCCTGCTGACCACCTGCAGAAACAGGAGTGAGGCTGTCCCACCACTCCCAGCTGCAGAGTGCCTTCTGAGGCCCCCGAGCCCCACACTGGGCTGTGCCCACAGATGGCTACATGGATGGCCAGGGAAGCCCCAGCCCAGTGCTGACCAAGGACAGAGTGCTGCCTCCTTTGGCAAGGAGTGAGAGGTGGCCATGGACAAGTAAGCCACTCCTGTCTCAGGAAGCTGGGTTTCCGCCCTGCAGGGCATAGAGGGTCTCCATAGGCTGGCACTGTGTCTGTGGCTGCGGGCCACTGCCCTGTTTGGTGGCTAGTGGCAGGATCAAAGGCCCTGCAGCCCAGGGCAGCCAGGGAGCAGCAGGGACACCCACATGCCACAGGAGTACATGGCAGCTTTTCTGAAGGATGGTGCTGCAAAGGCTGCTGGAGGGACTGAGGCACCAGCACACCCTTGCGTGTTCCCCTCCTCTGGGCTTGGGCTGTCAGCCCCTCCCAGGCATCCCTAAGCTGGCCCCAGCTCAGATGCTGTGAATGTGGGTGTTGACAAGTCTGCGAGAGCCTTGTCTCGCCAGCTGTGTTGCGGCATGTTGGATCCACACTCGCCTCATGGCTCCCATGTTGCTTCTGATGCTAACCCCTTGTCGTGCAGCAACAGAACTTCAAGCAGAAGGTTGTGGCCCTGCTGCGGAGATTCAAAGTGTCAGATGAGGTGAGTGAATTAGAGAGAGCCCTGCCCAGCTCTGCTCTGCGCCTACTCTCTGGGGGCACTACCTTACGCTTGCCAGACTGGGTAACAGCAGGGTCACCTCTCAGAGGGCCACGAGGGGCTCAGCTAAATTCCAGATTGCTCTCCACCCAGAGGAAGATGGGCATAGGGTCTGCGTGTTTGTGAACTTTATAGCTAGACTTTACCTTGGGGAGAGTTTCAGGTCTACAGAAGAATTGCACAGGAAGTACAGAAAGTCCCCGTGCACCCCTCGTGCCCAGCCCCCTTGCTGCTTTAAGTTTTAAATTCTTTCAACTTTAGTCTCCAACTCTTCTGCAATGAGCTTGTGTTACTTTCATAATGAAGAGAAAAACACTGATTTATAGAATACAGCATGGTCTGGCTACACAGTGGAGAGGAGGCACCCCCCACATCACAGCTCTGTGTCCATGCACAGAGGCCATGCCCAGGGCAGCAGTGTCCAAGCTCAGCCCTAGCATCCATGCTCAGTGTTATAAGGCACATCCTGCCATGCCAGGGCCAGTGTGTTTCTGAGAACATTGCCGCCTACCGCTATGGGGTGGCCAGTCCATGTCTTTTGGCTTATGCCTTACAGTGGGCAATTCCCAGGTCCAGCTGGAGATGAGACACAGCAAGGTGGGGTCCCTGCCTGAGGCCTTGCTGCCCATCCTGAGCAGCAGGGTGAGAAGTAGGTACTCTTGGCCACGGCGTGGTTGCCTAGCGACTGGGTTGTCTCAGAACATAACCGACCTGAACAGATTTGGTTCTGATTGCTGGGTCTCAGGCCAGAATCCCATGCACTGACTTTCCATTTTCATAGGAATCATCTCCCAGGTGTGTGTGAGATTCACAGTTGATTTAGCCCTTGACTTCCTCATCTTCTAAGCTACTCCCTTTTGTGCAGGGACTAGTCTGTCTTGCCACAGCTCTGTACCCACGTCTGAGAACCACTGCCTCTGCACAAGGCACCATCTCCAGCTCATGACCATCACAGCAACTCTCTGGGTGGCAGGAAAGATGTAGCAAGGTGTTGTCACCCACCTGGGCCATAGGCTGTCTTGCATCTTTCTTATTCCTGTGACTAAACACCTTAGACTAGGTAACTAAGACATGTCCAGAACCTTCTACTCACAGTTCTGGGGGTAGAAGTCCCAGAGCAAGGTGCCAGCGGTCAGCCCTGTCCTGCCTGCAGTCAGTGGCAGATAGGAACATGCTTTCCCTAGCCTTCTGCACTAATCACCTCCCCGAGGCCGCCCCCCCCAGTACGTCACCTCAGGTTAGCGTTCACTATACGAATTTTAAGGATCCACAATGTTCAGACCAAAGCATTCTGCTCTTTGCTTCCAAAATTCATGTCCTTCTCACATACAAAATATGCTCATTCCATCACAGTAGGCTTGAAGGCTTAATTCATTCCAGCACCAACTGAGAAGTTTAGAGACCAAAGTCGCAGTTGGGTGTGGTGGTGTACATTAACAATCCTAGCATACAGAAGGCTGAGGCAAGGGATTGAGAGTTCAAGGACTGGACTACGTGGCAAGACCCTATCTAAAACAAACAAACAAACAAAAAAACCAAAGTCTTTGCATATTGTCTCCACCAGATAGTGGTGAGACTCACTGGAGAGGGTTTGTTCTAAGACAGATTCCTCTCCAGCTATGAGCCCATGAAACCAAACAAGTTCTGTAGTATAAAAATATGATGATGAGACCAGCACAGGCTAAATAGTCCCATTTTGAAAAGAAGTAGAAAGGAGGGAAGGAACCTAAGTAAGTTCCAAGCCCAGCTGGGCAAACATTGTATCTTAATGCTGAAGAAACATCTCAGACTTTGTGCTTTGCCTTCTGTACACACTGGACTGGGAAGGAGTTGGGCCCTGAAGACCTAGGCAGCCCCATGGCTCTCCCAGGCTGGCAGTGCAGGTTGGAGACTGCAGTTCTACACTCTGGGGTACCCCAGTCCCATGAAGAATTCTCAGAACCCAGTAAAAAGCCCCCACAATTTAAAAATGCATAAAACTGATGCAGTGAAACTGGAAAACATTGTGGAGAGAAACTAAAAATGTGAATAGAGCTGGGATGTAGCTCAGTGGTAGAGCACTTGTCTAGAAATGTGTGTGTACATAAATGTATACCTCCAAGTTGATCTGTAGATCCACACAGATCCCTATCCAATCCCCAGCTGCCTCTTTGCAAAAATCCACTAGTTGGTCCTAAAATTAATACCATATTTCTCCCAAAGTAAGACCTAACTGGAACCAGCCCTGGCAGGTTGTTACCATGGTGATGGGCAGTGTCATGCAGATTATACTTCAGTGTTCTCTTGCTAGGTGGCTACTCTGTAATGGCAGGGAAGGGATAAATAGGCTGATTGGGGTTGGCACTTTTTTTCAGTTAGGTCTTATATTTGGGGAACCATAGTATGTAAGTGCAAGGGACCCATAGACAAAACGGTCTTGAAAAGGAAAGAATTCTTTAAAAAAAGAAAGGGGCTGGGGATTTAGCTCAGTGGCACAGCGCCTGCCTGGCAAGCACGAGGTCATGAGTTCGATTCCCGGTACCGGAAATAAACAAAAAAAAAAAAAGAAAGAAAAGGAAAAAAATTGGAAGATTTGCATTTTCCAGTTGCAAAACTTAGCTAGACGTGGTGGTACACGCCTGTAATTCCAGCACTCAGGAGGCTGAGGCAGGAGGATTGTCATGAGTTCGAGACTAGCTTGGACTATATAGTGAGCTCAAGGCCAGCTTAAACTACAAAGCGAGACACTGTCTCAAAAAAAACAAAAACAAAAAACAAAATCCAACTGCAAAACTTAGTACAAAGCCATAGTGATCAAAACTGTGGTGCTGGAATAAGGATAGATATGGAAATCAATGGAATGGCATTCCGCATCTAGAAGCAAATCTCTGCTCATATACTGATTTTTAGCCAGAGATGTCAAGAATATTCCATGAGGAAAGAACAATCTTTTCAACAAATGCTGCTGCGAGAATCGGACATCTATAGGCACAAGACTGAAGTTGGCCCCTTTTTCACACCGTATCTAGTTGGCCCCTTTGTACCATATTTAATAAGTGCGGCCATGGGTCAGAGCCCCACATGAGTGAGCTACGACTGTAGAACACCTAGGAAACAGCAGGTATACTTAATCAACCCTGGACGAGGCAGTAACCTCGTACATTTGACACCAAAAGCACAGGTGACAAAGTAAATATACATAAGTTGCAGTCAGCAACATTTAAAACTTGTGCTTCAAACAATATCATCAAGAAAATGAAACAACAGCCCATAGAACCTTTTTCACAAGTTATATACTCATAAAAGGATGTGTCCAGAAAATATAAGGAATGTTACAACTCAGTAAAAAATGTATTATCTTGCTTTCCAAGCACTATGTGGTCATGGGTTCTGTAGAGCGTGGGTACACTCCCCCTGGCTCACTACAGCTCAGGCTCACCCAGGAGCACCTCCGGAAGCTGTGCAACAGCCATGGCTATAGAGGTGCTAGAGAGACACCCTTGGACCCAGTGGCAGCAGTTGGCCACATTAGTTGCCGTTGCCAGCTCCAAGGTAAACCCCAGAAGAGGTGTGTGCAGACTTGACCACAGGCACAGAGGGTCCCAAGGGAAGCCCAGGTTGTCTGTGAGCCTTTGAGAATCATGGCAGCACACTGACCTACAGCCTTCCCACAGCTGCCCCTCAGATTTCTTCCTCAACACAGCTGAGAGAGGACGTCAAAGTCACCACTACAGGTGCCTAAGTCAGCTGTTTCAATACATAGCATTTGTTTAAAACAGTGAACTGGCCAGGTGTGGTGGTGGCTCATGCCTGTAGTCCCAACACTCAGGAGGCTGAGGTAGGAGGATCACGAGTTTGAGGTCAGCCTGGGTTTCATAGGAAGACCCTGTCTCAGGAAACAAAACATGCTGGGAATGCAGCTCAGTGGCAGAGTGCCTTGGGTGAATCCCCAGTGATGAAAAAAAAAAAAGTCCAATTAAAGAATGAGCCAAGGCTCTAGAGAAAGACAGCCATGGTCTTCACTGGGATGGCTGTGATCTAGCGGGAGCCCATATGTGGATGTGTGGCAGGCAGAGTGTTGGTGCCGGTGAGGGGAGGCAGGGGTGAGAGCATGCTGTGGAGGCACACCAGCAGTTCCACACCCACCGTCCCTGGAGGGACAAGGCTGCATCCCCAGAGCAACTCACAGTTGGTGCTCATGCCCGTTTCTGCTCACAAGGGGAGCAGCCATCAGCTGGTGGCTCCTGAGCCAGGCCTGGGTCCTGTTCAGAAAGGAACAGGCTGAACTGGAGAAAACCAGACCCAGGAGGCCCCACCCTGCATTCCTCCATTCTGTGATGACTGGGGAGGATCCAGATCAGTGCCTGCTTGGGGATGGGGAGTCAGAACTACAGGTCAAGAGGTCTTTGGGGAGAGCAGCATTGTGCATCCTGGTACAGGAGGAGCACAGCTGCCAGGCACTTGCAAGACTGTTCCCTGAGTCAGCACAGCCCATGGTAGGGTGTCAAAGGGAGGACCTCACCAGGTTAAGAGTCCACAAACTGTGGCCAGTGCCTAGTTCCTGAATTAGGACAGGAAGTAATTAAGACAAAATGTAGCCCTGCATGGTAGTGCACACCTGTAATCCCAGCACTCGGGAAGCTGAGGCAGGAGATTTGCTGCCAGTTTGAGACCAACCTGGGCTACAAAGTGAGTTCGAGGCCATCCTGAACTGCATAGCAAGACCCTGTCTCAAAATGACCAAAATAAAAGTGCTGGGAGTTCGGGGTACTTAGTGGTGCTGGGTACCCATCTTCCTGTGTACCTTTCTTTGTGAGCCTTGAGCAGCCTGGCATGTGGGTGGCACAGGCCTCCAGAGGGCCCCCTCACACATCTGGCATTGCTGCAGGTCTTGGACTCAGAACAGGACCCTGCAGAGCATATCCCTGAGGTAGAGGAGGACCTGGACCTTCTGTATGACACGCTGGACATGGAGAACCCCAGTGACAGCGGACCTGACATGGAAGATGATGACAGCGTCCTTAGCACCCCCAAACCCAAGCTCAGGTGAGCACATCAGGCCCAGACATGGCACTGCTGCTATATCCTGGCAAAGGGCCCTCTGTACAGCCCCAGGAATGCCTTTCTACCCATGTCAGCAGACCTTGTCTGACCTAAGGCATCAAGGCTCAGAAGTTTCCTGGGGAGGAGGGAACGTGTTGGTCAGTCCCAGGCTGCTGTGGTAGACTGAGGCAGGTAGCTTTCCCCTCATGGGAGAGCAGGTGGGAGGTAGCTGGTCAAGGAGGGGCAGCTCCTGAAGGCTGTCCCTACTAGGCAGTATGGTTCTCAGGGCAGAAGTAGCAATGTGATGAGACCACTGGGCCTGCCCCTTGAATCCACTATGTCAAGACAGGCGGAGCATTGGGAGGCAGGTGCAGATGGGGTAGACTGGAGCATTCTCTGGGAGGCAAGAGCTTGGGGAATGGGAGCAGGTGGAATATGGACAAGCATGGAGAACGGAGGGGTCCCCCAGGCCTGGCATCCCATTACAGGAGGGGAGTAGGGACCCTAGGAGCTGCAAAGGGCCTCCTGCTATGCCCACTGGGTGTCTTCCTGTGGCTGGGTATGCAGCTGGCTGAGCCTGTCGTGGGGTGGAGGAGTGAACACAGCAGGTTCATGCATGGGTTTGGACATTTGGAATCCCTGGTCTGTGTGGTCGGGGAGGCACAGCCCTTGGGGCAGAGCATGTGGTCTCTGTGGCTGCTGAGGATGGGGAGGTGTCAGTAGGAGTCAGGAAGGCTTGTGGACCTCTTGTTTTTAAGCTTTGTAACCGGAGTAATACTGAGTAACACATACAAGAAAGGTGGGCTTTGGGCTGGAGCTGCAGCTCAGCAGCAGTAGAGCACTTGCCTTGCATACATGAGGCACCAGGTTTTATTTCCAGCACAGCAAAACTTGAAGGGAAAAAGAAGGAAGGAAAGCGGGAAAGAAAAAAAGAAAAATAGTCTTCCTGCGCCGCCAGAGGCAAGACCACAGTTGGCCCTGGCACCACTGTAGTGCACACGCTCCGCCCGTGATGCCATGCCACATGATGGCCGTCGGTTCACCTGGCTGCTACCACAAGTGACCATGGCTGTGGCAACTTGAAGTAGCCATTGCTATGCTTGTCCTAGGGAGAAGTATCTTGCACTCGGCCTTCTCTGTCTGGCGTCTCACTGGACTCAGGTTGAAGTTCTGGCCCCTGTCCTTTACAGGCTCAGGGACACTCTCCAAGTCCAGTGAGGTCATGGTGGGAGGCAGTTCCAGGCCTCTTTAGGATGAAGGTCCAGTCTCCCTGCCACCTGACAGCTACCTGTCATCTTTGCCACCTGACAATCTCTCCTACATTTTGGCTCCTGCCTCTTTTCTGGTCAGCCCCCTCAGATGTAGGGTCTGGCCTGGCCACTCCTACTTCCAACTCCCTGCACTCAGCCTGAGTGAGTTCTCTGCTTGCAGTGATCCTGGGATCACATCAGGTCCTCCCCTGTTGCAATCTCTATGACACTGACAGCATCGGCAGTCCCTGGCCAGCTAGCACCCATGAATCTGGGATAAAATATGGGCAACTCAGCACTGTGATCTTGGGTGGTGACATATAGGAGACTACCCTACATACAGGGTTTTTCATGGCTTCATTATCCAGGGAGCATACCAGCTGCTTAAAGTGTATTTTTACATCTCTTGGGTCTGTCTTTTCTTTTTCATTTGCAGCATACTTTATCTGCCAAGGATAAGCATGTTTGGTCTTTTTGGTCTGGGTTGACATGATCAGTCTGGATTGTTCTAAAATGGTCTAGTGACTCTGGATTTGCTGCAAATGGTCTGGATTGATCCAGAATGGTCTGGTAGATCTGGATTAGTCTAGAATGGTTTGGTGGGTCTAGAAGAGTCAGATGGGTCTGGATTAGTATAGAAGGGTCTGGTGGGTCTGGATTGATCTAGAAGGGTCTGGTGGGTCTAAGTTGGGCTAGGTCAGCCTGGTCTGTCTGGTTGGCCTGAATTCTGGACTGCTGGTGGAGCCTTTCTTGTGCTGTTGAGAATGTTCTGTTTCCTACTAGTTGGTTGCAATCCCAAGGTTCCCACTTGGAGTGGGCATCTTCCCCCGGGATCACTGGGAGAGAGCTGTCACTCCACTTTCCTGTGTTGCTGACAGCCCTGCCCTGGGTCAGGACTGCAAATGACAGAGTACATGGGCACATGTTTTCTGGAGCTGATCTCACAGCAGACTGACGCGCTGAGCTGACTGGTTTGAATTCCGTGATCTCGTGCCCTGCTTCCTAGGGTGGTCATGCACCCACACAGTTCTTCAAGATGCCAGTTCCTCTGGATGCAGTTTTGCTCTGCCACTGGGCTTGCTGCCAACTCCCCAACCCCCGTGTGGGCAATGGGGCCTCACTTTCAGTGTGGGATGTCTTAGAAAGTAATGCCCACCCTTTTCCCCAAGCCAGGCCGTACTTTGAGGGCCTGTCGCACTCCAGCTCGCAGACAGAGATCGGAAGCATCCATAGTGCCCGGAGCCACAAGGAGCCTCCAAGCCCGGTGAGTGTAGTGACAGGTGACCTAGGGCAGTGATGGTAAACCTTTAGAGCCAGCTATTGCACACGTGCCAGGTTCACCACCCCTGTCCTAGGGGAATGGTGGAAGGGACCCTCCTGTCTGTGGGTCTCAGGGGTGTGATGGACGAACATCAGTGAGTGTGCTCCTGGCTGGGCTCTGGTATATCCTGAGCTCAGGCCTGAGAGTAGGGGACCGTCCTGGGACAACCTTGAGCCCGTAGTCCAGGAGTTTCCCCACCCAGTCCTGCTGGGCTCTTTTGGCCTCAAGTGAGACAGCCTCAGTGCCTGTCTCCAGCACAGCCTGACTCCTGTCTCCACCCCAGGCTGATGTGCCTGAGAAGATGCGGTCCCTGGGAGCCAAGCAGCCAAGTGACAACATCTCGGACACGGTGGCCCTGGTAAGCAGGTGCTAGCAGCACCCGCCCAGTAACAAATGCCAGGCATCTGATGTGCAGTGGGTACCACACAGACGTTTTGGTAATGACACTGTCTGGAGCATGTGGTTTGACAAAGCAGGTGGGCCTTCTGGTAGCCAGGCTGCTGGGCAGTCAGGCACCCAGACTCATCCCCGGGGTTGATCAGAGCCCTGGGGTATGGTGATGAGCCAGTATTGCTGTCACACATGGCCCTGGAGCAGCAGGTTTGTTCCTGGTGCCCTGGGGAGGGGTCTTCCCAGGGACAGTGCCTCGCTGCAGCGCTGGGCGAGGAGCTTTGTGGCTGGAGGATAAGGCCTCTGGGGCAGTGCATGGTCACATGTAGGGGTGCAAGAGGGCTCCAGCGGGTGAGCATTTCCAGGCCAGGCTTGTGCATGCTGCTCCCTTCTCTGCCCACCAGAGCACACCAGCCCCAAGGGAACCGGCAGAGCCACCTGAGGACATCCCTGAGGCTGAGACCTCCAACCTGGATGTGTTTACTGAGAAGCTTCCACCCACCGGGAGGATCACCAAGACAGAGTCACTTGTCATCTCGTCCACCAGGTGCGGGCCTGCACTGGGCAGCAGGTGGGTGGGCACTAGTAGGGCAGGGTCCATACTAGGAAGCCCAGGCCTCTACCTGGTTTTCTGTCAGCCTGTACCTCTTCAGGTCAGTACAGCTGAGAGGAGCCACCTGGTCCCATGCTGCCATCCCCAGAGTGCTGGTATGGACAGGGAAGGGCACAGGACCCACGAGGAGGCTGACTGCAGTGACAGTTCCTTGCAGGGATCTACTGGATGGGGCTGGAGGCAGTAGCAGGCAGGAGGGAGGGGCCTAACCTCTGGTCTGCCTGTGGTCAGGATAGTCCCAAAGCCACACCTGTGTCTGTTGCAGCCTGGAGGTGTAGGAGACTGGGAGTATGTCTGGGCCCCATGGGTGGAGGTGTCTTGTGGTTGCATGGACCTGTCCCTGCATGCCTTGGTCAGACCAGAGGTATTCTCCAAGTGTCCAGGCTGGGGCATGCCAGGAGCCTGAGGTCCTCTCTCTGGTCTTCTTCCCTGGCGGTATGTGGCATCCCCTGCGTCTGCTGACCCTTCCTGGCATACGTTCCTCCCAACCCAGCTCCCTACCTTGCCTCCAGGCCTGGATGTTCTGAGGCAGGAGCTTTCCAGAGCTGATGCTTGTGTCTCAGCTCCTGGCCTCCCTCAGCACCACTGCCTGAGACATATTCCACCCTGGGGGAACAGCAGAGCTACCGTGGGCACCCTGCCACTATCTCAGGCTCTGGCTTCTTTAGCTATAACCTAAGTGCTTCTTCTTTTCTCCTGCACTGGGACACCCACCTGGTCTCACAGTATGTGACATGTGTGAGGTGTCTTGGGGTGACTTTTTCTTGTCTTGGGGTGACTGTTTACTCTGATCAAGCCCAGACTCCCTCTTACTGTGGCCTCCACATCAGCCTTCCTGTTGCTCACCAGCCTCCTCATCACCCTGTGCAGATCCATTTACAGAAGCCCACTGCATTAGACCCATACCCCTAATCCCCCCTGTAAGAGCTGTTCCCACCGATGTAAAAGGCACTAGGTCAGAGGTACCACCCTCGACACTCAGGCTCATGTGTATATTCCTGTGATATCCAGGCTTTCCAAGAGGAGAGTCTGGGCACTGGCATTTACCCATCACTGATACATACAGGTCCAGAGTGGCACATTCCTCCATTCCTTGAGGCCCCTGCCAGGTCACAGATGAGGAAATGGAGCTGAGCGCCAGGTCCTGCACAGGTGCCCAGTCTTGGTCCTATGCCACTGCCTGTGACCTTCATAGAATCTGGTCTCTGTGCTTAAGGCCCTGCCACCAATTTAGTGACACTGGGTGGTTCTCTTTTCTGGTGTAGCGTAGTGTGCAGCACATATGAGCTTGTGGTGTCCCCTGCCTTGCCCTGCCCTACCACCCCAGCTGCTCCACAACTCCCCAGCCTACCTTGGTCCCCATAGGTCTGAGACGAAGCCGGCTGGCCGCCGGGGCCGGAGCACATCCCTGAAGGAGCGGCAGCCAGCACGACCGCAGAATGAGCGGGCCAACAGCCTAGACAATGAGCGCTGCCCAGACACCAGGAGCCAGCTGCAGGTGTAGTGGGGGCAGGGCTCCTGGAGCCCATCTGGAGGACCCATCAGAAGTACTCACTGTAGGTGGGATGGGTCATCCTGCAAGGTGGTCTGAGTGCATGGTAGGCAGCTGTCCACCTGCTCCCTGGCCTCCACGACTGCTGGTTGCAGCAGACACAGAGGCACCAGGCCAGGGGAAGAAGATTGGGCATTCGTAGGATCCTGGTATGCATGGGCTTGGTGTTTGCAGATCCCCAGAAAGACTGTGTATGACCAGCTGAACCACATCCTTATCTCCGATGACCAGCTCCCTGAGAATATCATTCTTGTCAACACCTCTGACTGGCAGGGGCAGGTAGGAGCAGCCTCTGGAGTTGGGGTCATGCAGCACAGCTAAGTGGGGCTCTGCCATGCACCCCTTTCCGGGTACAGTGCTGGAGCAGGGATGGTGGCAACCATGTTTGCCCTGGCATGCATGGATCTCCTTGGACTCCTTGGGATCCAAGGTGGAATGAACAGGGGCATCAGGCACTGTGCTGAGGCCATGTCTGCTCATCCCGCCCAGTTCCTTTCTGACGTCCTGCAGAGGCACACGCTCCCTGTGGTGTGCACATGCTCCGCCGCCGATGTCCAGGCAGCCTTCAGCACCATTGTCTCACGGATACAGAGATAGTGAGTCTGTGGCCACTTCTCTGGGGTCCACTGGGGGCTGGGGTGCCCAGCACTTCGGCACCCAAGTGCAGGGCACCCCAGCCCTACCAGCTTCCTAGATCGAGAATGTTCCCTCTCCGGGGGGCTGCAGTGGCTCCCCACAGCCTGGCCTTGCTTCAGGTCTGGGTGGGTGCCTTGGAACTTGGGCGTGGTGCCAGAGGAGAAGCAGCTTCTAGTGGTCACTGTCCTCTGGTTTCAGGCACATTCAGAGAGACACCACCCCCCCTTAGGTGTCCGGGGGTAGAGGGTACAGGGTTTGGTGGCTTCCTGGGGTTGTCACTGCAGAAGCAGCTGTAGCCGGAGATCCAGGCTTCCCTGGGGCTTAGCAGGTGGTCTTTGGGCAGGGGACAGCTCCCCTGAGGCATCTGTCCCCTCTCCGCCCCACCCACCTCGGGGTTGCAGCTGCAACTGCAATTCCCAGCCCCCGACCCCTGTGAAGATCGCAGTGGCAGGAGCGCAGCATTACCTCAGTGCCATCCTGCGGCTCTTCGTGGAGCAGCTGTCCCACAAGACACCTGACTGGCTCGGCTACATGCGCTTTCTCATCATCCCGCTGGGTGAGGGCCATCACCTGACCACTGAGCACATGGGCTCAAATGACTCAGCTGTTGTGTAATTTTAAAACTTCTGTGTGATACAGTGTACTCTTTAGTCATTTGATTTAGATGAAAAGTGACATGATTGTCCTTTAGGTAAGAGGACAAAGCCATTGCCCCTTCAATGCCTGTGCTGAGCTTATGTCCTCTTAGTTAGTCTCTAAGATTTTAGATTCTGAATTTGGTCTCCCATCATCAGAAATGCAAAGTGGGTTAGTTACCGGGCCTGTGGGAGTTGAGATCCCTGTGGTCTGTGCACTGCCCACTGCTGCAAAGCAGACATGGCCAGTCTGCTGACAAGTGCGAGACACTGGCATCCTGGGGACCATGGAGCTGCAAGAGGTGGGATTCATCACAGCTCCTCCGATGGGCATGACAGTGTAGTACAAGGGGGATGCCCAGGAACACACAGCTGAGGGGTGGCAGCCCAGCCATGCAGTGATGGCTCCCCTGGCATGCAGGTTCCCACCCCGTGGCCAGGTACCTGGGCTCCGTGGACTACCGCTACCACAACTTCTTCCAGGACCTGGCCTGGAGAGACCTGTTCAACAAGCTAGAGGCCCAGAGTGCAGGTGAGGCTGGGTGCAGTGCTAGGTTGGGGAGGGAACACCCCTGGTATCCACAGCCCCCTGCACTGGCGGAGGTGCCCCTTGTTGCTGAGACCTTTCCCAAGAGAGCTCCCCAGGTGCCTTGCTCTTCTAAGGCTCAGACAGCAGGTGGGGTTGAGCCCCAGGCTCGCTGGGAAGGCCACAGACCCTAGGGGGCAGGTCTGCTGCACTGGGGAGAAGGCCTTGCAACCCTTATCCTGGAACCATGGGTGAAACACTGCTCCCCCCACCTGGATCGCACCTGGCTGCCCCATGCCAACCCAGCACCACCTCCTCGTGCAGTGCAGGACACACCAGACATCGTGTCGCGCATCACCCAGTACATCGCAGGGGCCAACTGCGCCCACCAGCTGCCCATTGCTGAGGCCATGCTGACCTACAAGCAGAAGAGGTAATGCGGTGGGCCCACCTCACAGCTGCCACCAGCCACTGTCCCTCTGTGACCTCCTGCCCACACTGGCCCAGTGGGTCAGGCTGGACAGTGGGTGCCTCTGCTGACCCCAAGTCAGACCAGGATTGTGGGCTGGGTCTGAGCACCTCTATCTTTACACATGCTGAAGTTTCTCCAATACAGTGCTCTAAGTTTGAGCTTTATGGGTCCTGGCCTCACTGCTTGAACAGTCAGTGTATATCCTCACTTGCCCAGTCAGTGTATACCCTCACTTGCCCACTAAAAGCCTGGGGTAGGTAGAGATCTGCTGGACTCCCACCACTACCAAGTGCTGGGCATCTTCGTTTTAGGCCCTCTGTTGGCCAACCCTCTGGATAAGCCTGCAAGCTGCCCCACTTGCAGATAAGGGAAACAGTGGCCGAGTCTTCGGTGGATAAAAGGCCCCTATCTAGGGAGGTGAAGGCCTTGCATTCCCTAATATTCAACACCTACTCTAGACTGAAAGTTAAATTAAAGATCTGTGAGGCACAGTAAGGTCCATGGGGGTGGCCATTACTGGCCTGGCTTGAGCCTGTGCTCCCCAACTACTAGTGGAGAGGCAGTGGTGTCCCTGTGTGTGACTCTCTTTGAGCCCAGCCCTGGGCTCACACACCTGTGAGGCAGGGAGAGAGTTTCTCATGCTGCAGAGCTCTTACCACCCTGAGGTGCCTTAACATGTCTGTTTTTCTCTTTGGTGGCTTTCTGCAAAGGAAAAGGCATTTTCACTTTGACTTTACCCTAAGGTACAGCTGTCTGGCCTGCCCACCCCCCTGTCTGTCCCAGGCTGGTCTTTAGGGCTTGTTTAGCAGTCATTGCCCAAATCCCTCTCCCCTGACACCCGAGGTGGCAGGAGGTGCCCTCAGGCAGGGTCCCTGTGCACTGAGGACAGGTGGGATGCCTCCTCTGCCAGTCTTGCATGAGGTAGGAGCTGCAGGTGGCCTTGCTGTCCCTAGGGCCTATATGGCCTGGGCAGGGCTTGCTGGGGGAGGTCCAGACCTCCAAAAATCTGATTCTAAGGCCAGGATGGCATTGCTCCAGCTAAACCAGAGGTAGGCACCAAGATCATGCTGACCTCTGGCCATTGCCACTGAGATCAGGGCCACTTCATGCTGGGCTCTGCCCCAAGCACTTTACACTGGTGGACCTGGCCACCTGCACTCAGCCCGAGGAGGGAGGCATCAGTACTGGTCTCCACAGTGCAGGGACATCACGGTGGGAGGTCACAGAGCTGGTATAGGACACCTCTCCTCAAGACACCATCTTCTCGGCTGTCTCTAGCTCCAGGATTGGCAGAGGGCAGAGGGAGGTTTTTGACATCTTCTGTAGTTTTCCTGGGGACACAGCCACATCACAGAAACCCCCACATGGGATAAAGCACTTTCATCCCCAAGGTTGGCTGCACCCTTTGGAAACTTGGGAGTGTCAGGCTGTACAAACCCAGGCACCCTCAGAGCTGCCCTTTCCTGGACTGGGTGGGTCCCATGCTCTGTCTTCTGCCCCTGCCTCAGGTCATCTGTTCTCCTAGGGAAGCTGCCCTCACCTTGGCACAGGGAGTGTGAGGGATCAGACATACTACCTTCCAGTCATCCCAGCCATGGGCGGGCTCTGAGCACCCACACTCTCCTGCTAAACAAGCCCCACAAGTCAGAGAAAGACCAGCCATCATGTGCCCCCACCCTGTGCCCTGGCCACCTGGCTATGCAGCCAGTGTTCTCTGGAATCTGCAGCATGTCCCCTCCCAGCAGCCGCAGCTTCTGTCAGAGTTGGCCCAGCGACAGCAGAATGAGGCTTGAGGAGACCCTGTTACACTCCCACCCCACCCTTCCCACCCTGCCGCCTTACAGAGGTGACACCGGCACATGGTGAGGATAGGTGCCAATGAAGCCCAGCATTCTGGGCAGGAGGCAGAGCCCTGCCCAGCACTACCCACGCTGTCAAGGTGCTCTTGCCTGTGCTGTCCCTGCACACACAGTGCCTGCTGGCCAGGAACAGGGCTTGTCCTGTGAGGGTGGCTGGGTTGAGGTCAGACTGCCTGCCTTTGGTCCCCCACTGTACCGCAGCCAGTCTCAGGAGCCTGACCAGCCTGACTCCCCAGAAGCCCCTGTGCTACAGTGCAGGAGCCCCTCCACACCTGGGATTGGGCCTTTGTGGCAATCCGGTGTCACCCCTGTCATGCCTGTGCTGGTGTCTGCATGGCCCAGGATGCAGCTTGGCTTCAAGTTCCAGCCGCTTCCTCATGCCGTAGCGTCTCCTGTGTCTTGGCCACACATGGCCCTGGTGGGCCCTGGTCATACCTCAGAGCAGATCATGAACAAGATGCTGTCCTGCCACTTCGTTGGGGCCCTGCAGAGAGCAAATGGCCTGGGGAGTTGGAGTTCTGCACATGCTGGGGACCAGCACCACCCGCCTGCCATTTTGACCTTCTGGGCCCAAAAGGACTCAGCTGTCACTGAAATTTCTAAGTGGGCACTTGTGCCAATGAGCTATATCCCCAGCCACCATGTCACTTGAGATTTCTAAGCATCAAACTGCCCAAGGGGACAGGAGACACCCCATGTGGATGGCCACCCCATGAGAATACCCCTTGTACCTAGGACCATGGGTTGGAGCAGGCTGGGCTCAGGTTGCAGACTATTTGTTTTTTGAGATGAACAGAGCAGGTGGTTCTTAATGCTGCTTTCCTTAGAGAGGGAATGAAGGCTGGGAGTTTGGTTGTCATCTTTAGTGCTGCAGACAGAATCTGTAAGCATTCCATTCCAAAGCTTCTACCAGGTCTTCGGGGCAGAGATGGAAGACAGAGGAGGCTCCCCTGCAAGGACCTGCCCCAGTGGGCAGCAGCTGGGTGTGCATTCTGAGCGGGCCCACACCAGTGCTGCTCGCCCAGCTTGTGGTAACCCCATGTGTCTAAGTCCTCTGCCTCCACCAGGCTCTGAGAAGATGGAGATGGAGTTGTGATGCTCAGGACAGGCGGCTGGCCGGCCACAGTCCTTGCCAGGCCTGCTCCCTCCAGAGGCTGCTCCCTAGAGGCCCATGCACTGGACAGTGCCCACCACAGTGTTGTCTCTGAGCTATGCCCCTGGCCTGAGCAGTGGGAAATTTCCAGACCATCAGGAGGAAACCTCTACACCCTGACTGTGGGGCAGCTACCCCCAGTTGGTGGAGAAGGCTCAGACCACTATCCACAAGGTCTGAGGTCTATGGAGTATGTGTGGCTCCAGGTCCAGCAGGGAACCAACTTGGTGGGTGGCATGAGCAGACAGGACCAGGCTGAACTGGCTGGTACCTGTGTGACAGGGACCTGTATGGAAGAGTGGATTTGGGGCTTATCCTGGTTGCCCATGTGTAGAGACCCTTCTCCCTTCCTGCATGCAGCTTGTAAGGGGGATCCACATGTCAGGCTGGGCAGAGTCCATGGTGGGTTGGGGCTGGGGCTGGGCCTGGGGCTGCTGCTGAGGTACAGGGCTAGGAGCAAGCAGCGGCAGTGTGAGGGGAGCATGACTGTGAGTTTCCCTTGCTCTTAGCCCTGATGAAGAGTCCTCCCAGAGGTTCATTCCCTTCGTTGGGGTAAGTACCATTACTGTGCCCGCTGTGGCCAGGATGCCTTTCCTCAGAGTGCTTTTGCATTGGCCCACGTATTCCACAGCCTCCTCCCCATGTGAGCCCAGGACTGCCGCAAAGCCTGTTGCTTCCTTCCCATGTTTGAGGGGGCAAAACCCATCTAGGAAGCGCCTGTGTCCATTTTACCACACTGCCCTGGGCATCGGCCCAGGGTCAGATGGTACTAGCCTGGCATCACAGCTCAGGAGAAGAGTTAGGGGAGGGAGGGCCTGGCCAGTGTGACTGGGCTGAGGCTGTGGTTCTTCCTTCTGCTAAGGGCAGGACTAAGGGCACCCATGTTCCCTCCCAGCCCCACCTGCAGGCCTGTACCCTGCCGTCATATACCTTACTGCCAAGGATCTACTGGGAGACCCTACAGTAGTTTGGTCAGTGGCCTCCAGGCAGACAAGGGGTGTGGGTGGCTGCTGACCCATGGGAGTGACAGAATGTGTGTGGAGTAGCCCTTCCCAGGGGCCTTTGTGTGGTGACAGGTGTGTCCTGTGCCCTCAGGTACTTGACCCAGCACCACATGTGGCTGAGACCCTGAGTCAGTGTCATAGTTCACTCAAGTGACCCAGCCTCGAGGCGAGTGGCCACCACACCAGATAGTACAGGTCTAGCGCAGTTCCTCTCATCCTGCACAGGCATCTGGCCGCACCTGGGGCATGTGTCCCTCACACCAGCTTCCTGGTCTTGCCAGCCAGTCACACAGGCTTCTCTTGTGTCCTGGCACAGTAGTTTGGCAGGGACTGGGCAGGGTGGGGAGCCGGCCGACATCCCTTGGCCTGCAGCAGTGTTTGTTCCTTTCCAGGTTGTGAAGGTTGGAATTGTGGAACCGTCCTCAGCCACGTCAGGTAACTTCATCCCTTCCTGAGGTCCATGTGAGTGGTCCTTGTCACAGGTGGTCCCACAGCTTAGGGGCATCTTGAGCCTGGGAGCCTGATCCAGCCCTGCCACTTCTGCTCAGAGTTGACCATGCAAAACTCCTGGACAAGAAAGAACCTCCTGCCATCCCTGGCCTAGGCCTTTCTGCCTGTATCCCTCCCCCCGCCCGACTGCCAGAAGGGCTACAGCCATCTCCTCAGATCCTGGTCCCCAGGCCTGGCCACAGCCTCACTGCTGGCCTGTGACTCCTCCCAAAGGTGACTCGGACGATGCAGCCCCCTCAGGCCCCAGTGTGCTCTCCTCCACCCCACCGTCCACGTCGCCTGCAGCCAAGGAGGCTTCGCCCACCCCACCGTCCTCCCCGTCAGTGAGTGGAGGCCTGTCCTCCCCCAGGTAAATGGCATGTCCTCACCTTGCTTGTTCTGAGGTGACACCTGCCCCCGTGTACTCAGCCCGTCAGAGCCCTGTGTGGAGGTCCTGGCTCACCACCTGCAACTAGAATGGAGTGGGCCCACAAAAGTCACCATGTTGCAAATTCACATGGGCTCCTTGGAGCCTGCCTGCAGCTCTGTTCATGAGGGTCCTTTCCCGAGACAGGCCAAAGGATGTGGGGCAGCAGTAGGCTCCTCAAATCTCCTCCTGGGGGCAGCTTCCAGGCCATCTGGGTCTGGCTCACTGCTCACCCAGACAGTCAGACTTCACTGGGGGTTTGCCTGGCCACAGGCCTCAAGGCCCAGCAGTGCTGACTCCTCATCCAGGGCCCCCCAGCTAGTCAGCCGTGGTGACAGTGCCAGGGCCACAGGCACCCCAGCCAACACACATGTAGATGGCTCTAGAGAGTATCCTGCAGTCCACGGCCAGCAAGTTGAGACAGGTGCTGGCCACACCTTTGCCTGTGACAGCAGTGCTGCTATCTCCAGAATGGCAGCTGTGGTTGTGAGCACCTCCCTCTGCCTTTCACAGCCAAGGTATCGGCGCCGAGCTCATGGGGCTACAGGTGGACTACTGGACAGCAGCACCTCCTGCAGACAGGAAGAGGGATGCCGAGAAGAAGGACCTACCTACCACCAAAAACACGCTCAAGTGCACTTTCCGGTCCCTCCAGGTCAGCAGGCTGCCCAGCAGTGGCGATGCCACGGCCACACCCACCATGTCCATGACTGTGGTCACCAAGGAGAAGAACAAGAAGGGTGAGGTGGGGGGGTGGGCTGAGCAGGGCTGGACAGTTGGGGGGCTGCCCCTTGATGACTGTTGGGGACAGGGAGATGTCATCCACCAGTACACCCATGTGCGGTTCCCAGTAAACTCAAGGGGCCCGTGGCTGACTTCAGAGTAGGGACTGGCAAAGCATGCTGGACAGCACAGTCCCCTTGGGTCCGGGCACGCAGATGGTCTAGGCAACCCACCTGTCCTGCTTACCTTAAGGAGCTCTGGCTAGCCAGGCCTGAGGGAGCAGTTGGACACAGTAGGGCCCTTTTCCTCCCAGTGATGTTTTTACCCAAGAAAACAAAAGACAAGGACGTGGAATCCAAAAGCCAGTGTATCGAAGGCATCAGCCGCCTGATCTGCACAGCCAAGCACCAGCAGAACATGCTGCGGGGTGAGCATGGTGGCCGGGCAGTTGGGGTCTGGTCTGTGACCCATGGTCTCATTTGGCTCTGTCTATAAAACAAAAGCAGAGCAGAGGGGTGGCTCTTGGGGTGACTTTTAAAATTCAGCACAATAACTGTTTTGCTGCAAAACACACATTATACAGTTCATACTCAGAACACATTCCAGTGAAGCACACATTGAGTGCATCAAACAGCTTTTTTAATTCAAGCAATTTTTTTTATCTTTTCCATATTTTTCAAAAACTGATTTATACATTTCAAAGTGTTTGACAGAGGGTCTTCCCAAGGAGCTGATCCAGAACATGGAGCTCTCTGGGTTCTCCTTTCTGTGAGCCAAGTCTGATGGGCCCCAGATGGCAGTCATTCTGGTCTGGCCACAGCAACTTCCAGGTGGAGGTGTTTTCAGTGGACTTGCAGGTCTCACACCTGACCCCTGTGGGGAGGACAGTGTTGGGAAACAGTTTCTGCCAAGCTGCTGGTCAAACTCCTCTGGTCCGTGGAGGGTAGGCCGCAGGAAGGGCCTGGGGAGCCGGGCTCCCAGGCAGTCTGTGCCTCCAGCTTTGGGCTCCTTGTGCTTCTAGCCTGCAGACGGGCTGGGTTCGGTGGGCTGGGTGGACAGGCAGTCAGGCAGCCCTCTCCCACAGTCCTCATCGACGGCGTGGAGTGCAGTGACGTCAAGTTCTTCCAGCTGGCCGCCCAGTGGTCCTCGCATGTGAAGCACTTCCCCATCTGCATCTTCGGACACTCCAAGGCCACCTTCTAGCCCCACTCACACAGGGGCCGCCACAGGATCGTGGAGAGGCCCACATTTCTGTTAACATTTCAGTTTACTACAAAGACAGATCCTTAAAAACACAAAGAGACAGTCTTAAGTATGAATGTGCTCGAAGCTGGAAACTAAGATCAGCTCCCTGCTGGGTGCTGAGTAATTGCTCTGCTTATTAACCAGACATTTGGCCCAGCAAACCCAAGGCTGTGGGGCCCAGGGGAGTTTGTTGCAGCCGCTCTGGGAGCCCCCAGAGCCTACAACAAGGAGGGTTCTGCCTGCATCCTGCCCTTTACAGAAGCCAGGACACTGCTTCCTCTGGGAGTTCTGAGCTTGGTGGTGAGAGGCCAAAGGTTGCAGGCATGCTCAGCTTCCTGGCAAAGGACACCCCCAATCCCAGCACCACCCATGCGGGGCTCCCAATAAACTCCAGCCTCCAGGCAGAGGTTTTATAGTAGCAGATCTTTCTAATGCTCTCAGATACGCGTTACTATATAGCTGCCAAACAGCTATTGCTCTCCTGAAGTTCCCAGCAGGTCCTGCCCAGCCCCATCCTCTCACTGGTCTGAGACTGAGGCTGTCCAGACTTAGTCTGTCAGTCCCAGATGTCCCTGTCCAGGCTGCTCTGCTGCACCATCTACCACACCTACCTACCTGCTGTCCAGGAGTGTCCAGGACTGGTCATGTGGGTATGTGGGTTGAGATGCAGGATTGTGGTCAACTGATGAGCAGGTGTATATGTAGGACCTTCAGCAACTATGTGGCCAGTGAAGGGTCAGGCAGGTTGGCCTGTCACAGGGCCCAGGTACACCTGCAGTGCTGGGGGCACTCCTGGCCACACTCTTGAGAGCAGCACGTTGCATTAGGATCCTATCCTGGGCGGGGAAGCCCTGCCCCCACCACCCATGCATCAGAAGGTTGTACACCTGACTACCAGCTCCAGCAGGCCAATAGGGTTGGGAGAGCAGCTCAGTGCTGCTGCTTCCATGAAGTCCACAGCTGGGGTATCCTAGAAAAGCCACCTAGCCCTCTCCTTGCAAATGGTAGCCCTTCTACTAACACTAGTGACTCTCCCAGAAGCTCTGGGCCTGGTGTCTTGAGTGCTGCACAAGCTATGCTCAGAAAGCAGTGCCAAATAGCAGGACTGGCTTAGTCGCAGAGGAGTCCCCATCTTCTTGGGGAGAGGATGGCCCGTTTCCTTACCTGTGACCTACCTGCTTACCTGCTTCCATCCCAGGTGGCTGAACAGAGTCTGGTTCATCCAGTGTGGAGGTCCTGGAGGGCTAGCGACTAGACCTGGGTTCTGCCCCAGTGCCCTGGGTGCAGATAGCCTGAGACTGTCCTTCCCTTGAACTGCTGTGGCTCCCTCTTCACCTAGGAGTAGAGCATGAGGCACTGCGTAGCTGGCAGCCACTGCGGGGGCCCTGCAAAGGGCCAGAAAGGGATCAGGCTAGCTCAGTGTCAAGTGACCTTTGGGCTTCAGAGCCTGTTTTATCTTCCCTTCTAGTTTGTTCCTAAAAATCATCACTGGTAGGAAAGGGATATGGCTTGACTTTCTAGCCTCCAGGGCACGAGAGCTGCCCAGCTTCCCTGCTGTGGGCAGCCCTTTCTCGGAGACCACCTCCCCTGTGACTGGCCCCACAGCCCCACCCTTGCTCAGATAAGGAGAGGGCCTGGGCAGAGCCTCCATCCAGCAGCTGGCCCACGGCCAGGCCTGCAGAGCGAGTGCCCGTGTGCCCTGCGCCGAGTGCTGCGCGCTCTCTGCTGCAGCAGGCCGTGTCGGGGAGAGTGCTGGTGGAGACCCGGGCTGGGCGCCCCTCGCCGCCTCAGTTTCCCCGTCAGTTGGAGGGATGGCCTCATTTCCCCTGCCTACCTCATGCAGCTGTTCTGCGGATTCACGGAAACGCACTTTGACCTCTGGAGGGCGAGAAGCCAAAGCCACCTGCCAGCTGGTGTGGCCAGGGCAGTGCAGGGCGGGCGGCGGGCGCCTCGTTCGGCGTGGGCTCCTGGCCCCACCATCACGGCCGGGCTGGGCCGGCCGCCTCTGCGCTTGGCCTCGTCTTGGTCGCTCGCCGCGCCTCGGCTGCCCGCACTGCAGGGGGACCGCGGTCCCAGGCGGGCTCGGCCGCGCCCCGCTCGCGGCGACTTTTTGGTGTCTGTGGTGTACGTGTTGCTAATTTTTTAATGGGAAGGATTAATGTAAATAGCAGACGCTAACCTGTCCCATGTGGCCATGTGGACGACTCTAAGGTGCTGAAGCGACATTAATAAACTGAAGGCACTCTCCGCTCGCTCCCGACTCCTCCAGCGAGGCGCGAGACGCGAGGCGCGGGGCGGGGCGGCGGGGCGGGGCGGGGGCGGGGCATCGAGCGGAAGCCCTGCAGCGAGGCTCCGCCCCTTGGGCCGCCCGGGGTTGCGGTGTCTCCTAGGCTTTCCGTTTCAAGCTCTTCTGCGGTGCGCCTTTCCTGGACCCCATGGATCTCAGCCTCCTGCGTCCGCCATCCCACAGACCCTGCTCTGTACAGGACCCCTCAGACTCCGCCCCTCGGTCTCCATCGCCCCAGGCCCCGCCCCTCTTTGTCCCCGAGCCTATAGATTCCGTCCCTCTCCTTTCCCGGGCCCCTCCCCCTCCTCTGAGAGTCCTCGGGGCGCTCCCTGGCTCCCTAGTTGTACTCTCCGCCGAGCAGACCCCCGCGAGTGGGTGGGAAGGAGGGCTGGGGCCCTGGTCGTAGGTGTGAGGTGCGTTTGGAGGCGAGATCACAGGAGGGAGGCGGTTGAGTGCTGGCACCCCCAGTGGGAACCAGAGCTGCTGGACAGAGTCTAGGAGGCCGTACAAAGCTGACCAGGTCGTGCACTGGGCAGGACTGCGGCAGAGAAGGGCAGCATCAACTTCCACTTGGGGTGTAAGAGCCGTGGGAGCAGATCACCCAGAGGCCCCACTGAGGGGCAAGGGTCTGGGCAGGGGCTGGAAGATGCCGATAGCAGAGCTTCACCTTGCTGCTCCTTGGGAGCTGGGGACCCACCCCCACTCTATCCTGCTCCACCCCCCTCAGAGCCCAGGGTGCAGACCCACCCGCAAGGAGTAGAAATGGACAGCAGACAGTTGTGTTCCCTGGGGAGGACCGGGCAGTCGCAGCACCCTGAGGAGTGCAGGCAGCCCTCTCACCCACGCAGCCCAGTGGCGGCCTGGGGCCAGCCTAGAGCCCAGAGCAGCGCTCAGCAAGGACTGCAGACGCAGGACTGGGTAAGCAGGAGGCGCCTCTGAAAGTCCGGGGGGGGGGGGGGGGGGGGGGGCCTAGGGCCCAGGAGAGACCCAAGGGTAGTATGGTGAACGGTGAGGGGCTCGCCCCATTGCTGGATAGCCATCAAGATAGTTTGCACCCCTTTTGCCTCTCCCTGCTGGGCACAGTGGAGCAGCCACCTGAGGCCAGGAAGAGGGTGCAAGACAAACCTGTCTCATCCCTCACCAGTACCTGTCAGCACGCAGTGCCCGCCCCCATTGCTAGCAGAGAAGGTGCTCTGAAGTGGCAGAGAGAATGAGTTCTCCACAGCAGAAACAGTGCCCTTTGACCAGGTAGACAGCTGTCACTGAACACATGGCAGCTCTGCCTGTGACAACCCCAGGCTGGAAGCAAATCCCTTGTTGCCCCTCTCACCCCTGGACAGCAAGCAGTGACTGTGGTTTACATGTAATAGTAGTGGACAGAGGAACAGATACAACTGTGCAGACCCAGGGGCACACCATCAGCAGAAGAAGCCAGACCCCCTGTGTGATTCTATCTGGGGAGGGGTCCCAGCCCAGCCAGATGGGCCAGGCTGTGACTAAACAAGTGCACAAGAGACTTCCAATCATGTAGTCAGGCCACTGTGGGGAGCCTGCCTGGCCATGCCCTGCAGTGCATGTGTCTGCACATGTGTTCACTGGGTCAGAGGTGGAGGGGAAAGAAGCTAGCTCTGCGCTGTGTGGCCATGTTGTACCCTCCTAGTCATGTCCTCTAGGACCCAGTACCTTTGAGGTCCCTGAGAGGGTGCCAGGCTGGCCAGTGCAACAACCAGCCAGGAGATGCCTCAGCTTTTGTGAGACCAGCACTGTATGACAGGCAGTCTAGACCACAGGCGCCAGCATGACCGCCTGGTGAGGACTGCTCAGGAGGAGGATGGATGTGTAGCTTGCATCCTGGATGAGTAGGGGGAAGAACCATAGGGCCCTCTGACTGAAGAGGCAGGGATGCAAAGAAACACGGGATCTACAGTAGGTTCCTGCCTGGGGACAGGGAGTTGCTGCAGTGCCTGTGGCACCCTGGCCCCGCTTTGGGGTTGGCTCCAATGCTGGCTCCATGCGATGTTCCTGGGCCTCTTTCCTTCAGTGTTCTCTGGCCCTGCTGCTGGCTGTGGCCCTGAGGGATGCCTATGCTGCACTTTCTTTGTCCTGTGAGGTGTCTTGTCTTTGTCCCCCCAGACATAGACTGCTCTCCTGGGCTTCCCACAACAGGTCTCCTCTCAATGTCACCTCCTCAGGGTACCCTAGCCCATCTAACATAAGTCCTTCATCCCTCCCCCTTTAAGTCTGAGCCCCCAGAACCACCTCCTTTGCTTGACATGGGCCCTAATGACACACACATGGCTGGACATGTGTCCCCAGAAGACAGCAACCTTGAGCTGAGGCCAGAGGCCAAGAAGAGCACCCCCAGCAGAGAGTCCCCCGCTATCCCGCCCAGATCAGTGGGTAGAGCTCCAGACACAGCACTCATGCTTCCTGACAATCTGGCGATGTGATTGCAGAGGCCTTGAAGGGAGGTGGGAGCCGCAGCACAGAAAACTGTGAGGGAGGACTTGGGATGGGAGGCAGCAGAAGTAGGACAGCTCCCTCGACCCACATACCTAATGCTGGCCTCATCTTCCTGAGTGGTGAGTGAGAAGCCCAGGAGCACTAGCCTTGTGAAACCTACTCCACCTGAAGACTATGTGACTGTCTTGGACAGTCTGGAAGAACTGACTGGGATCCATGCATGTACCAGGGTTCAGAAGGAGGGGACAGGGATCAGTAGTCCATTAGATACAACAGCAGGCTCAAGAAGGTTAGCTAGTGAAGAAGGCCTGCTTACACTGGACAACAGGAGTAGCATTAGGAAATGTGTACAGCCTGTCTGAGAGGAACTTTAAAATACTGCAGAAGAAGTAGAGACCTGACCAACAGGAAGAGCCATTATGTTCATGAAGAGGAATACTTGCCAGCATAGGAGGATTCTCCGGAGGCATCACATGGTTCTGAGTATCACAGTAAAAATGCTAAACACTTATTTTCTCTTTTGATCCCACAAACCAGCCGGAGTTCCTTTGGAAAAATAAGAGTACTCAGGATAGCTTCAACCCAGCAGACAGGGATTCATGTCACTAAGCTTTGATTACCACAGCCATGAAAACTAAGGTAGTATAAATATCTAGATAGGAAAGACTAAATGGTCACTGTTTGCAGAAATATATGTCATCTAGAAAATGAAGTCAGTTAGATATATGCACACAAAAGAGGAAGATTGATTATATGATTACCATTTGAAACTTACTAGTTTCAATACATTAAAAATAAGCAACCAGAAAATGCAATGGGAAAGGATCCCATTTACTGTAGCAACATGAAATATGAAATTCCTACAGTTAAATCTGTTTTTGTGCCAGTGCAGTGGTGCTCACCTATAATCCCAGTTACTTAGATGACTGAGGCAGCAGGACTGCAGGCCCATCTGAGGTACTGAGACCCTATTTCAAAATAAGATTAGAAGAGCAAACAGTGCCACAGATGTCAGTGGAGGGCACTTGTCTAGGGTGTGTAAGGCCAAGTAGGAGCCACCGTCATTCCCACAATGCCATTTGGTTACACTGGTGGTTGTGCTTCCTGTGTAAGGGGGTAGTACAGGGTGTGACCCTTGGCAGGGGAGGAGGCAGGGTGGATGAACCATCACGGTGGAGCTGCAGAACCCCAGAGCTAGCTTCAGAAGCAGTCTAGCAGAAAGGCAGAGACCCTTCAAAGGGGCAGCAGGGAGACTGACGGCACCCAGGGAGCTTATTACAGAGAAGGGTGACACACGTATGCTGAGAGAAAATAATGGTCAGCTTTTGATATGTGCCCAGCAAAGTTATCTTGTACAAAGAAGCCAAAATATTTTTTTGTGGTTTTTTTTTTTTTTTTTTCCTCCAGTACCGGGAATAGAACTCACAACCTTGCGCTTGCCAGGCAGGTGCTGTGCCACTGAGCTAAATCCCCAGCCTCAAAGAAGCCAAAATAAATAAAATTACAAGCTAAAAAGAATTTTCCCCTTGCAGACTGTCACCTGCATTCTGCGGATAGACATCAAAGAGTAGCAAAGTGATCCCAGCCTGAAATACACAAAGAACAAGGATTTTTTAAAAAATGCTGAACATAGTGGCACACACTTGTAATCCCAATATTCTGGGAGGCTGAAGCAGGAAGATCACAAATCTGAGCCTATCCTGGGCAACTTAGTGACCCTGTCTCAAAATAAAAAGAGACAGAAAAGGGCTGGGATGTAGCTCACTGAAAAAAACAAAAGGTAGGTGGGCAAATTAGAACTAGCACTGATGGGTGGCAGCAGTCCCTGGGCATCCCCATAGAAACCCAGGATGGGACTGGGAGAGACACAAGGTGAGCTTGTGATGGAGCTGCAGGGCTCAGAGTCCCTTGTGTCACTGAGCACAGGATGAAGATGTGTATCAGTGAGGCTCTGACATGTTTGCCTGCACAGTGTACTTGTCCCAGAACAGAAAGAGCCACATCCCAACCAGAAGGGAGGATGGAATAAACATAGCACAGTAGAGCTAGAAGAAACCAAGAGAGGGAAGAGAAATGTAAAGTAGCAAAACAAACAGAAACACAAGGTACACAGCAGATATAACTACTGATGTAGTGTAATTCAGTAAATGATAATGGACTAAATGTTCCAGTTAAAAGACACCATCCAAACAGATTGCAAACCCAATGCAGCAATGTGCATGTGAATGTGGATGGACTGAAGCAGATATATTCCAACATGGGGCCATGAAGGTGGACTGTGAACAGTCTCACATCTGTTCACATTGTATTTTGGTGTCCAATTCAGCAAACTTACTTTGAAATTGCGGACCATCACTGTACTCAACAGCAAGAGTGGATCTGTCAGATAGACATTCTTGAGTGAAGGAAGCAAGTTGCAGGATTGTCCATGCTGTGTGTCACCCTGCATACTCAGAGTTCAAAAACATGCAAAAGTAAATAATGTATTTCTAACATATTCATTAAAATATAACTTGGAAAAAAATAAAGATGCTTATAAATCTTACTCTGAAAAGAGATCGTACAATGATTTTGAAAATAGAGCAAAGCCTTGTCTTTTCTAAGCTCTAACAATTAGAATTATGTGGTATTAGGACAGCTACAATCTAGGACAAATAGTTCAGAAATCAGCCTGTTTATCATTCTGGAGATTTAATTTGTGCTTAGCATGGAATTCAAACTAGTAGGAAAGACTTTTCTTTTTTTTTTTTTTTTTTTTTTTTGTACCGGGAATCGAACACAGGACCTCATGCTTGCCAGGCAGGCGTTGTGCCACTGAGCTATATCCCTGGCCCAACACTTTTCAATAGATGGTATTGGAGTGACTAGCTTTCCATTTACAAGGCGGTGGGATACAGCCCCCGCCTTACACTACCTATTCAATACACAGTGTTAAACCCAGATACACAGCATTAAAGCCAAACAGCAGAAGCCTTGGGAAAATGTATATGTGCTGTGTTTAAAATCCCAGAAGCTGGGCATGGTGGCTCAAGACTGTAATCCCAGCACTCAGGAGGCTGAGGCAAAAGGATCACTGCAAATTCAAGGCTAGACTGGACTACACAGCAAGACCCTGTCTCAAACAAACATACATACATAAAATCCCTGAATGAGAAATGCATAGCTTAGGTCAAATATAAAATTCTCGAAGAAAATGCCTGGCAGATTTTTAAAATGTTGTGCAATCAAGAACACACAGATGCTAGCCGGGCATGGTGGCACACGCTTGTCATCCCAGCACTTGGGAGGCTGAGGCAGTTCGAGAACAGTTTGGGCTACAAAGTGAGCTCAAGGCCAGCCTGAACTGCATAGAGAGACCTGTCTCAAAAAAAAAAAAAAAAAACCACACACAGATGGTCACCATGGTGGCACACGCCTATAATCCCAGCACTTGGAGGCTGAGGCAGGAGGATTGCTACAAGTTCAGAGACTAGCGTGGGATACAAAGTGAGTTCAAGGCCAGCTTGAACTGCACAGTGAAACCCTGTCTCAAAAAAGACAAAATCACAGATGTTAAATGATAGTCTGTAAGAAAACACTTGTAGTATTTGTAATATTCACATTATTTACCCACCAGGATGTATGAAGAGATGCTTGAGAACAATGAGAAAACTGCTTTAAAACCCAAGTGGAGGATATGTGGAAGCAGCTCAGTGGGAGAGCACTTGCCCAGCATGTACCAGGCCATCTATGATCTCAGTGTGGTGGGAGGAGGATCGAAAAACATAAAAACAGGGCATGGTGGCACATGCCTGTAATCCCACCACTTGGGAGGCTGAGGCAGGAGGATCACCTTGAGTTCTAGGCCAGCCTGGGCTACATAATGAGTTTAAAGCCAGCCTGAGCTATACAGGGAAACCCTGTCTCAAAAAAAAATGGGTAATTTTGTGTCCCCCAAGAAGACATTAAAGGGTCACCAAACATGAAAGAGTTGGCAAAAGTGATAAAGGTGAATATATGTGAAATTGGTAAATGTAAGGAAAGAGTAATTCTGTTTTATTGGTTTTTCAAAGAACTCATTTGTGATCATTGTCCAGTTTTTTTTCCTTTATTAATCAATCTTTCCTAATTCTATCTTTAAACTTCCATGAATTTCTTTTGTTCTTTTTCTAGCTTCTCAAAGGAGTTGTTTTATCTCTGAGTTTTCTTTCTAATGATGTATTTAAAGCTATCGATTATCTTCAGAGGGTGGTTTTAGCCCCTGGTGGGTTTTGATGTGTCCTATGCTCACCATTGTTCATTTGGGTGAATGTGGGTTTCAGTCTTGATTTTCTTTTTCACTCAGGAGTAGATTAGAAGGGTGTTTGGGAATGTCTATGTTAGTAAGAGTGTTTTATCCTTTTGCAGTAATTTCTAATTGCTTTACTTTTCGGTCACAATTAGTTATGTGTTCTGGGAATCTCTTGTGCATGGGAGAATCTATTTCATTTGTGGCTTCGATCATGGTCACCCTGGGTGAATTTCTGATTTGCCTGTGAGGAACATGGACTCTCTGGGTTATAGAGTCTGAGCATATTTTTCCATGTTTATTAGATCACTTATTAATTACTTATATCTTTAATTTTTAATTTTGTTTTTATTAAAATACTCTACTCAAGTAGAGCTGCAATCCTGAAGCCCCCACTGTCAGCTCCTGTAGGTGTTTCCACTGAATGCACCAGCCAGGTGTGGTGGATACTCCTGTAACCAGCTGCTGGGAGGTAGAAACAGGAAGATCACAAGTTCAAAGTGAGCTGGGGCAACAGAGACCCTTTCTCAAAGCAATAAATAAAAGAAGGATGGGGGTGTAATTCAGTGATAGAGTGCCCTGGGTTTGATCCCCAGTACTGCAAAAGAAAAAAAACAAAAAGGAGGGATGTCCACATGCACTTAGCCTGCTCTCTCTCACTTCTCCATTTAGATTCGGTTCACTGCCTGCCAGAGGCTGAGGACCTAGCACCCACCTCCCCCGACATGCTGCTTTCTCCCCCGCCCGAGGGGGTCATGGCCTATGTCTCAGGGAAGCCAGTCCCGACACTGGCTGTCATGACTGTACTGCTGTCCATGGCCCCGGCAAGCTCTCGGTGGGATGTTTCCTTTCTTGTATGGCCTTTCGTTTTCCTTGGAGGCAGTGGGTGTCTCTTCTGAGCCTCTTCTTTCCCTACTGCCTCCTTCTTTTCTGTTTTCTATTATCTATTCCAAACTTTCTGACGCATTTGTGACCCTCCTCTCACAGCCAACCACACATACCAGGTCTCCGGGGACTCGACTCTTTCCTTGGCAGCGGCCCCCTGGAGGCCCTGGCCTTCCTACCCCAGCTGGCCTGGCTGCCTTCAGGGCCACGTGCAGCCCTCTCCCTCCCTCCCTGCCTTGACGCCACCTATTTCCTGGGAATTTGGCTTTTCTGTTCCTCCCAGAGCACACCATCTAGCAGCTGTATCCCAAAGGGTTCATAGGATGTTAGTGTTTTAAAGATGTTACAGCCAGGTGAGGTGGCACACGCCTATAATCTCAGCACTTGGGAGGCTGAGGCAGGATTGCTATGAGCTCGAGGCCAGCCTGGGCTACATAGAGAGTTCAAGGCCAATTAGAGTGAGACCCTGTTTCAAAAAAAAAAAAAAAAAAAAAATCCTAATAAATAAATAATAAAGACTCTACAGACGTGAAAATACCTTTTTTTTTTTTTACCTCCACACTCAGATGATGCCTGGGACTGATCCCAGGGTCTTGTGTATGCTCTGGCACAGAGCTACACCCTCCAGCCCCTAGCCATGTTTGACAGTGTTAAGTATAGTCACGTTATTCAGCCTGGTATGGTGTGGTGGTGTATGCTGTAATCCCAGCACTCTGGGAAGCTGAAGCAGGAAGACTGTAAGGCAGAGCCCATCCTGGTCAACACAAAGACTTAGCAAGACACTGTCTTAGCTCAGTATGGTTCCAGTTTTAGTATATGTCCTGCCGAAGCCAGCACTGTCTCTGTTCAGTATGAAGGCCTTGGGTTCAGTCCTCAGTGCTTGGCGGGGGTGGGGTGGGGTGGGGTGGGGGTGTAATATATATATATATATATCTGTATAATGTATACATGTATATACATAAACTGTATATATCTCTACATTGTTGTGAAACAAACTTCCTGGACTTCTTTTTCTTTCCCCGGACTTCTGATCTTGTGAATCTGAAACTTTACCCCATTAAGCAGCTCTTGGCTCAGCAGCCCCTGTGAAGCACGTCAGGGAGTGTCATGATCTCTAGGACCTCATGCAGGTGGGACCCTGTCCCCACAGGTGTGCGAGCCCCAGGAGCCCCAGAGCCCTGGCCGGCACTGGAGCCTCAGCATCGAGGAGCGCCGGCTGCTGGCACTGCGGGGCGCGCAGGAGCCTCAGGACTGGAGCTGCCAGGTGCGCGGGGGGTTGGGGCACGCGCGGGGGAGAGGGGTAGGGCCCCCTCTCTCCCTCCCCTCCGGCCCGCTCCCGCCTCTGACGCCAAGGCCGCCCACAGGACCTCGTACAGGTAGTGGCTAAACTGGTGTCCGAGGATGTGGACAAGGACGTGCTCCTGCCCCAACCGCGGAATTCCTGCGAGCCCAACAACGCCTTTCGCGACTTCCTGGCGCGGAGCGCACCCTGCTGGCAGAACGCAACTTCTTGGGCCCTGGCCCCGAGGTCACCCCGCTGCTAAGATCCTGCTCAGCCCAGTCTGTCGTCTAGCACATTTCCTTGACCTCCTGCGCTCTGTTTCACAAGGGACCGTGGCCCACCCACGGAGGGGAAAACAGACCCCCTGGGGCCCGGTTGAGAGTGTTGGGGGAAGGGGAAAGGAAAGCCAGCTGGGCTGCTCTGCACTGCCCGGAGAAAGATGGGGAGCCCCCTAAGCCACCCGGACCCAGGCTGCCCACCCCTCCCTCTGCTGGAGCACCCTGGAGACAAGCTCCTATGGGCATCTGGGGTTGGTCCATGCCGTCAGCGGCCCTGAGCACTGGGCACTGCTCTGTAGGCCCCGGGGGTGTGGTGCAGCCAGTGGAGCGGCAGGGAGGGGCCCTGGCAGAGGAGGCTTCCTGGAGCAGGAGGCACCCCTGGGGTTGGAGAGGCACAAGGGCTGAGAAAGCCTTGGGCACAGGGGGTCTGAAGCAGCCCAGACACGCTGCTGTAGAAGGACCCTAGGCCTGTGTTCCTACTGCCTTTGTCTCAAGATTCTGAGGGTTCAAAACCAGGGTGAGTGCAGGCTGCATTTTGGGAGACCAAGGTGGAGGGCACTGGAGTGGGAGGAAGGAAAGGAGTGAGGTGACCCCAGCCCTCCGCATGGGGAAAAGTGCCCTGGCCACAAGGACTGACTGAGGGCTTCTCTGTGTGGTGGTGAGGGCTGGCAGGCCTTGGGCTGAGAGGAGGTGATTGATCCCAGCCCCCAGTAGGAGTCCAGCCTCTGCAGCCACCTTGACCTTGTACGTCTGGCAAGCTGGCAGTACTGTCCCTGAGCCACTGCTGAGATGCAGACCTGGCCATACTGGCCCTTGCTGCCCATGGACTCCGAGTCCCTAGGCCAACTCAAAACCTTTGTTCTTGTCTCTCTCCTTCATATTGTAGGACTGAAATTCTCTCCTATAGGAAGCCTGCCTGGATAACCTAGGTGGGCATCCTTGCCCAGTTCTATCTGGAGTCCCTGAAAGTAATTTTGTTTACCACAGGAGTCCTCTGCATTTGTAAAACCTCCAGAGTGGGAGCGGACAGGCCGTGGAGCCACAGGGTCTTGGGGAACATCACGACCCCGCCTCCTCCCAAGGTCTCTGACAGGATAGAGAGGTGCTGTGCTCTAAGCCAGGTCCTTGCTGGGCAGGAAGTTGCATGTAGTCCTGTCTCAGAGCAGGGTAGGAGCTAGTGTCAGTGGTCACATTGTGGTAACACATGCTGTGTAGTTCTTTGTTCTGAGTGACTTTGAAAGAGTCGCCCCCTTTTTGTTTTTTTTTTTGGAGACAGGGTCTCACTGTGTAGTTCAGGCTGCTTTGAACTCACTAAATGGCTCAGGCTGACCATGAACTCACTGTGATCCTCTTGTCTCAGCCTCCCAGTGCTGGGATTACAGGTGTATGCTCCCACACCTGGTCCACTGTTATATTTGCTCCTAAATTGAGGCTGATTAGCCTCTTCTACAGTTCTATCTGATGTTAGCATTTTAGTAGAGAAACATATAACACATGATATACAAATGTATAAGAAATTACAAGATTGGCTTACGAAGGTCAGCCCCAGGGTGGATGAGGAAATGTGCAGAGGGTGTCTGCACACTGGAGACCGAAGGATTCAGTCTAAGATCTGGAGCTCATTGCAGTGTCCCATGCGAGTCCATATCAGGAGGTTGATGGGTCTATGCCAGAAGGCTGAAGCATCCAAGGTGTAAGCTAAAGAGTCTGTGCTAGAGATGATGTCCAAGCTGAAGGTGAAAACTGACACACCTCTGAAGACTAGAAGCCCGTCCGTCCTTTCTCATTTCCCTTTTATACCTTCCAGGTAACGAGCCACCCTAGGGTGTAGAATTGCTGAGCCAATTTAGTTAAGCTTCTAAACTTTTCAAGTTGACAAAATCAGTCAACCACTGCACTATGGCTACAGGCAGTTCGGTTCAGCGTGGAGTGTGAGGGTAAAAGTGCTACCTCTCAGTGGGGACCAACACAGAGCACACGACCCTCTCCAGTAGCGTACAGTGCTGGGACAGGTGGCAGTGCCTGGAGATACTTTGGTCGCCACAATCAGGAGGCTGTGTGCTAGTTTCCTGTTGCTGCTGTAACAAACTGCTATGTTTGGTGTTTTAAACCAACACAGGTTCATTGCCTAAGTTCTGTAGAATCCCCTGGCTTCTCTGGGTCTTGCTGGTCTGGGGTGAAGACGTGGGCAGGGAGCTGGGGAGGAGAAGCCCTTGCTTTCTCCCGCTTCAGCTCTGTCTGCATACTTTCTGCCCTGCTCCTCTCCTGCCTCCCTTGCCCATGGTTAAGGACCTTGTGACAACACTGCTTACCCAGATAACCTGGACAAACTGCTTTAAGATCAAGTAGTTAGTGACCTCGAATCCTCTCTGTACTGTCACCTAGCATGTCATAGACTCTCTAGAGTGAGAGTGGGGAGCAAGGTACCTCCCACAGGAAGCTGTGGCATCTGGTGGGTAGAGGCTGGAGTACTGCACAAGTCTACCAGTGCATGGGATGGCTCCCCACAACCACAAATGATCAGCCCTCCTGTCCATGGCCTGACTGGGAAATCTGGCAGCAAAGGAAGCTCTTGGAAGGTTGGGAGCCCCCACAGGGAGACCTGCCTTGGGGTGGCTAGGGGTTCACAGCAGAGTCTTGGGAGGGTCTTGTAAGGGTCTTGGAGCACTGGAGTCAAAGGGAGGCTAGAAGAGCTGCCTTAGGAAGGAACCTGGGGATTGGTCTGGGCCCTGCCAAAGTCCCCCGCATAAATGTGGCTAGAGCAGGCCCCCAGCTACTGCAAGTAGACACTGCTATAAGATCTTGATTCTAGGCTCCCTTTACTCCTGCTTGCCCACCAGGTCAGTCCTGGTCCCTCCTCAGGATCCCAGGGCACTATCCCCAGGAAGGTGCCACTCCCTGCTCCAGGTCCAGAGTGGTAGCCAAGCAGAGTTCAGAGCCTGGTGGTACACTGGCACAGGCCCACTGCTGACTTTGAGTGGTGAGGGCCAGGGAGAGGCCCCCATCACCTCTGCCAGCCCTGCTGCTTCATGTCATATGTGTGTGTGTGTGTGTGTGTGTGTGTGTGTGTGTGTGTATGTTACTGAACTAAGCGACATCCCCAGCCCTCCATTTTGAAGTGCCAAGTTGTTCAGACTGGCCTAGAACCTGGCTTGGCCTCCTGTGTTTTGGGCTCGCAGCAAGAATCCGGGACGTTTTCATCTCATGTTGACCCTTTCATCATCCCTTGCCATGGGTTTGCTGTTGGGACCTGGGTCACTCAAATTCTTTGCTCTAATTTTTATCTTTATTGGCTAGACTTAAGGCCAGGTTTTAAATGTTTAAAGAACTTTATTCTTCATATTCTTATATTTGAAAATATTTCCCTCAGACATTTATATATACATGAGAACCTGGCTGGGTAAAAGATTCTTGGGTTACAGTTTTTGTCCCTAAGGGGGACACTGTGTCTTCAGGCTTTTAATGCTGCTTGAGAAATCAGAGGCTAATTTTTTCTTCCAGTACTGGGAATCACACCCAAGGCTTTCACACTGAGCAACATCACTGAGCAACATTTTATTTTTTTTATTTTGAAAAAGGATTTTGCTAAATTACACAGACTGGGGTCAAACTTGCAACCCTCTGGCCTCAGCTTTTCAGAGTGCTGAGATTACCGGTATGCGCCACTTTGCAGTTTCTGTCCTTGTCTGTGATATGCTTTTTCTGGGAAATGGCTCCATTAGTCTTTAAAGTTCAGTAACAGGCAAGACAGGTCTTAGTATGGGTCATATCATGCTGCACTGATTTTTTAGAGTGTGCCGTGGATCTTTCTGATACAGGTTTTTTGTTTGTTTGTCTGTTTGAGACAAGGTCTCACTATGCAGTTCAGGCTTACCTTGAACTCACTATGAAGCCCAGGCTGGCCTAGAACTTACAGTGACCCTCCTGCCTCAGCCTCCCAGAGATTACAGGTGTGTGCCACCATGCCCGGCCAGACTTTGTTGCTCCAGGGATGCTCTTCCTCTTGACTTCGTTATTCTCTTTCTCTTTTTTGTATTCCTCCTTCTCTGCTTCTTTTTGTCTGGGACAGAATCTTGCTAAGTTGCCCAGCCTGGCCTCAAACTCCTGGTTCTCCTGTCTAAGGCTCCCAGCTACCTGGGGTTACAGGTGTGTGCCACTGCCTCCAGCTTCAGAAGCTTTTCTTGCAGCCTATCTGAATCTGTCTCTTACCCTCCCCTTCACCACTGTGCCTCATGTAGGAGTTCCTCAGGAGCTCCCAGAGGCAAAGCCAAAGTCCCCACAGGGTCCACAGGTTCCTGCAGGGGAAGGGTCCTCTTACATCTCCTTCCTCCACCTCCTGAGATAAGCAGTACCTCTGCATTGTTGTGGCTTTTACCCTCACCATTTTGTCTTGAAAACAGGCAACATCACATAGCCTATACACCATCTATATCTCCTTTCCTGCTAAGTTGTAAACTCCTCAGGGAAGACTGTGTCCTCACCTCCAGAATGGTCTGCAGCATGAAGTAGATGTTCAGAAAACAGCTGAATGAGTCAACTGCTGTAGTGGCTTTGTCTTGTCCTGAAATGATCCAAACTCTTTCTCCCATAGCAACTTGATGTTCTGGTCCTTACTGTTTCTTAGCCCAAAAGGTGTGACATGATCCCTCAACAGAGTCCTTGGTGCTTATGTCTTCCCCTCACAGAACTGCTTTGTTATTGAACATTTAAACTTGTTTATGGAACCCATGTACCTACTAGGGTCCCAGGAGTGCAGGACTCTGTGGCAGCATCTGTCCTGGACTCGCATGTTCTTCTCTGCAGGGTTCTCACCTGTCCTGCACTTTCCCTTCCTCCAGGTTTTGTGAGGAGTTATGTGATATGGTCACTGTGCCACTTCCTGAGGCAGCATTCCTTCAAGCTCTGCTACCAGATGGACAACATCTTCATCCTTCTCAACTCACCTGAGCTCCTCTGATTCCTTGAGTTAGGTTAAGGGCAGGTAATGGATCTGGTCTGGAGAGGTAGGCAAAGTGCCCGGGCTGGGGCAGCTGAGTGCCCTGCCACTTCTGCTCAGTGCGGGGTGTGTCCTCAGCACTGGAGGGACCAGCTCAGGGTGTGGGTGCCTCCCTGAGAAGTTCACCAGGGGCCAGGGATACAGCTCAGTGGCACAGTGCCTGCCTGGCAAGTGCAAGGTCCTGAGTTTGAGTCCTCGTTCCTAAAAAAAAAAAAAGGCTGGGAATATCATTCAAAGGTACAGCACTTGCCTGGCAAGTGCAAGGTTGTGAGTTTGATTCCTGATGCCCAAAAAACCCAAATAAATAAATTTTTTAAATTAAAAATAATAAAAAAAGAAGTTGGCCAGGACCCTGTACCCTCTGACAGCCATTTCTTCTTGCCTCCTAACTCTGGCAGAAGAAAAGGGTGTGTCCTTCAGCCAAAGATTTTTGGGATGTCCTCATGTTGGAGAATGTACCCCATGTCTGGTGGAAACAGATACAGATGGTACAGAGGGGTGTGTTCCCATGCTCCTGAAGGTCGCCTGGCACTGTCCAGCCTTTCTGAATGATCTGCTGGCCAGTCTGTTGGGTAATGGGGGAGGTCTCATGCTATGGGTGAACCTGAGGGATGGCCACCCGTGTCTCCCCATGCTAGGATCTTTTTCGTGTGTATCATCACTGCACTTTGTACCCACACTTCTCTCTTGCTCTTGGTGTCATTTCCCATCTGCTCTCCACAGACCATGGCCTCCGTCTTCCTTGGGACCCCAGCTTCCCACCTAGTTCACTGGGGTTGGGCAGGCAACATGTGTGCCAGTCAACCAGGACTCCTGATTACTTGTCCAAACCACACACAGTGACCCGGGATCATTTGTGCTGTTTTTATTTTTCAAAGAATTGAGGATTAAACTCAGGGTTTTTGTACTGAGTGATATCCGTAGTCCTTTTCTTATTTTTCATTTTGAGACAAGGTCTCACTAAATTGGTCAAGCGGGGTTTGAAGTTGCCATCGCCTCCCACAGGGCTGGGGTTATGGTGCGCGCCCCAGGCTCTCTTCTGAGCTCCAGTTCTCAGGGATGTCCCTTGGCATCCCACAGGGATGGACCTGGTGTCTCTGCAGCCAGCAGGCAGCACCACAGGCTGGCCCAGAGGCGACTTGGAGCCCCTAGACACCTCCTCATCTTCCCACGCCAGCCGGGGACCACGGTCATCCCAACTATGAGGCCAACTTCAGTCCTCCGTTGAGGGGCTGCCTACCTACCCCACTGCCCACAGACTTTAAAGAAGCACAGGCCCAGACACATGGGCACAAACTCTGAGAGGTGCTGGGGAGGAAGTGCAGACTGCAGTCCACAGAAGGAATTTCCCTCCACACTCGCGCCTTGTGGGGCCAGATTCTGCTGCCTCAAACCAGGCCACCAGCCAGGGAGGCCTTGTCAGCTCAGGATCCTGCCCGGGTGGGGGAGGGGGATGGTCATCGTGTCCAGGGACGACCACGGAGGCTGGGGGAGGACGGGCAGCGACACAGACCATCTGGTGTTGGGTGGCAAGGGTCAGCCGAGGAAGGGAGGTGTGGGACAGGAGCCTTGGGGCCAAGGCCAGGCTGCTCAGCTTCGGAGTGGGCGGGGGACCCAGAGGGGACCGCTGAGAGCGCTCAAGCGCCAGAGGATCCTGAGGCTGCAAGGAGGACCCCCACCCCGAGTCGGGGCGAGATCCTCCTGAGGAGTGCGGGAGGGGCTCACGCATGGAGGACCTCGGAGGTTCAGAAGACCCTACCAGGGGCCCCCAGGAAGGGCGCCCAGGGTGCAGGGAATGTCGGGAGGGTGATCCGCCGGGGTGGCACAGATGGCCGGCAGGAGGGGCCGAGGGGATCCACGATGGGGAGCGCAGCAGGCCCGCCGGGGGTGTCGAGGAGACTCGCCTAGGAGGGGCGCCGCTGATGCTGGGGGACCCGCGGCGGGGGCGGGGGACGGCCTGCCGGAGGTTCCCCGAGAGCCGCTCGGGAGGGGCGC